TCTAGTCTGTGACTTAACAGTTCAGTATGGTGTTGTATTCAACATTTCAGTATGGTGTTGTATTCAGTTTATCTAGTCTGTGACTTAACAGTTCAGTATGGTGTTGTATTCAGTTTATCTAGTCTGTGACTTACATTTCAGTATGGTGTTGTATTCAGTTTATCTAGTCTGTGACTTAACAGTTCAGTATGGTGTTGTATTCAGTTTATCTAGTCTGTGACTTACAGTTCAGTATGGTGTTGTATTCAGTTTATCTAGTCTGTGACTTACAGTTCAGTTCGGTGTTGTATTCAGTTTATCTAGTCTGTGACTTAACAGTTCAGTATGGTGTTGTATTCAGTTTATCTAGTCTGTGACTTAACAGTTCAGTATGGTGTTGTATTCAGTTTATCTAGTCTGTGACTTAACAGTTCAGTATGGTGTTGTATTCAGTTTATCTAGTCTGTGACTTAACAGTTCAGTATGGTGTTGTATTCTGTTTGTCTGGTGACTTACAGTTCAGTATGGTGTTGTATTCAGTTTATCTAGTCTGTGACTTAACAGTTCAGTATGGTGTTGTATTCAGTGTATCTAGTCTGTGACTTAACAGTTCAGTATGGTGTTGTATTCAGTTTATCTAGTCTGTGACTTAACAGTTCAGTATGGTGTTGTATTCAGTTTGTCTATTGTGACTTACAGTTCAGTATGGTGTTGTATTCAGTTTATCTAGTCTGTGACTTAACAGTTCAGTATGGTGTTGTATTCAGTTTATCTAGTCTGTGACTTACAGTTCAGTATGGTGTTGTATTCAGTTTATCTAGTCTGTGACTTACAGTTCAGTTCGGTGTTGTATTCAGTTTATCTAGTCTGTGACTTAACAGTTCAGTATGGTGTTGTATTCAGTTTATCTAGTCTGTGACTTAACAGTTCAGTATGGTGTTGTATTCAGTTTATCTAGTCTGTGACTTAACAGTTCAGTATGGTGTTGTATTCAGTTTATCTAGTCTGTGACTTAACAGTTCAGTATGGTGTTGTATTCTGTTTGTCTGGTGACTTACAGTTCAGTATGGTGTTGTATTCAGTTTATCTAGTCTGTGACTTAACAGTTCAGTATGGTGTTGTATTCAGTGTATCTAGTCTGTGACTTAACAGTTCAGTATGGTGTTGTATTCAGTTTATCTAGTCTGTGACTTAACAGTTCAGTATGGTGTTGTATTCAGTTTGTCTATTGTGACTTACAGTTCAGTATGGTGTTGTATTCAGTTTATCTAGTCTGTGACTTAACAGTTCAGTATGGTGTTGTATTCAGTTTATCTAGTCTGTGACTTAACAGTTCAGTATGGTGTTGTATTCAGTTTATCTAGTCTGTGACTTAACAGTTCAGTATGGTGTTGTATTCAGTTTATCTAGTCTGTGACTTAACAGTTCAGTATGGTGTTGTATTCAGTTTATCTAGTCTGTGACTTAACAGTTCAGTATGGTGTTGTATTCAGTTTGTCTATTGTGACTTACAGTTCAGTATGGTGTTGTATTCAGTTTATCTAGTCTGTGACTTAACAGTTCAGTATGGTGTTGTATTCAGTTTGTCTAGTCTGTGACTTACAGTTCAGTATGGTGTTGTATTCAGTTTATCTAGTCTGTGACTTAACAGTTCAGTATGGTGTTGTATTCAGTTTATCTAGTCTTTGACTTAACAGTTCAGTATGGTGTTGTATTCAGTTTATCTAGTCTGTGACTTAACAGTTCAGTTTGGTGTTGTATTCAGTTTATCTAGTCTGTGACTTAACAGTTCAGTATGGTGTTGTATTCAGTTTATCTAGTCTGTGACTTAACAGTTCAGTATGGTGTTGTATTCAGTTTGTCTAGTCTGTGACTTACAGTTCAGTATGGTGTTGTATTCAGTTTATCTAGTCTGTGACTTAACAGTTCAGTATGGTGTTGTATTCAGTTTATCTAGTCTTTGACTTAACAGTTCAGTATGGTGTTGTATTCAGTTTATCTAGTCTGTGACTTAACAGTTCAGTTTGGTGTTGTATTCAGTTTATCTAGTCTGTGACTTAACAGTTCAGTATGGTGTTGTATTCAGTTTATCTAGTCTGTGACTTAACAGTTCAGTATGGTGTTGTATTCAGTTTATCTAGTCTGTGACTTAACAGTTCAGTATGGTGTTGTATTCAGTTTATCTAGTCTGTGACTTACAGTTCAGTATGGTGTTGTATTCAGTTTATCTAGTCTGTGACTTAACAGTTCAGTATGGTGTTGTATTCAGTTTGTCTAGTCTGTGACTTAACAGTTCAGTATGGTGTTGTATTCAGTTTATCTAGTCTGTGACTTAACAGTTCAGTATGGTGTTGTATTCAGTTTATCTAGTCTGTGACTTAACAGTTCAGTATGGTGTTGTATTCAGTTTATCTAGTCTTTGACTTAACAGTTCAGTATGGTGTTGTATTCAGTTTATCTAGTCTGTGACTTAACAGTTCAGTTTGGTGTTGTATTCAGTTTATCTAGTCTGTGACTTAACAGTTCAGTATGGTGTTGTATTCAGTTTATCTAGTCTGTGACTTAACAGTTCAGTATGGTGTTGTATTCAGTTTATCTAGTCTGTGACTTAACAGTTCAGTATGGTGTTGTATTCAGTTTATCTAGTCTGTGACTTAACAGTTCAGTATGGTGTTGTATTCAGTTTATCTAGTCTGTGACTTAACAGTTCAGCATGGTGTTGTATTCAGTTTATCTAGTCTGTGACTTAACAGTTCAGTATGGTGTTGTATTCAGTTTGTCTAGTGTGACTTACAGTTCAGTTCGGTGTTGTATTCAGTTTATCTAGTCTGTGACTTAACAGTTCAGTATGGTGTTGTATTCAGTTTATCTAGTCTGTGACTTAACAGTTCAGTATGGTGTTGTATTCAGTTTGTCTAGTGTGACTTACAGTTCAGTTCGGTGTTGTATTCAGTTTATCTAGTCTGTGACTTAACAGTTCAGTATGGTGTTGTATTCAGTTTATCTAGTCTGTGACTTAACAGTTCAGTATGGTGTTGTATTCAGTTTATCTAGTCTGTGACTTACAGTTCAGTATGGTGTTGTATTCAGTTTATCTAGTCTGTGACTTAACAGTTCAGTATGGTGTTGTATTCAGTTTATCTAGTCTGTGACTTAACAGTTCAGTATGGTGTTGTATTCAGTTTATCTAGTCTGTGACTTAACAGTTCAGTATGGTGTTGTATTCAGTTTATCTAGTCTGTGACTTAACAGTTCAGTATGGTGTTGTATTCAGTTTGTCTAGTGTGACTTACAGTTCAGTATGGTGTTGTATTCAGTTTGTCTAGTGTGACTTACAGTTCAGTATGGTGTTGTATTCAGTTTATCTAGTCTGTGACTTAACAGTTCAGTATGGTGTTGTATTCAGTTTATCTAGTCTGTGACTTAACAGTTCAGTATGGTGTTGTATTCAGTTTATCTAGTCTGTGACTTACAGTTCAGTATGGTGTTGTATTCAGTTTATCTAGTCTGTGACTTAACAGTTCAGTATGGTGTTGTATTCAGTTTATCTAGTCTGTGACTTAACAGTTCAGTATGGTGTTGTATTCAGTTTGTCTAGTGTGACTTACAGTTCAGTATGGTGTTGTATTCAGTTTATCTAGTCTGTGACTTAACAGTTCAGTATGGTGTTGTATTCAGTTTATCTAGTCTGTGACTTAACAGTTCAGTATGGTGTTGTATTCAGTTTATCTAGTCTGTGACTTAACAGTTCAGTATGGTGTTGTATTCAGTTTGTCTAGTGCGACTTACAGTTCAGTATGGTGTTGTATTCAGTTTATCTAGTCTGGACATACCAGTTTGGCAGTGTTCTATTCAGTTTGCCTAGTAAGTGTCTTACTTGTTCATATTGCATAGTATTGAGTTTATTCAGCCTGTAATTAAAAGTTAAGTACAGTGAGGTTTAAGTAACAAGTCAGTGACTTATCAGTTTGGTGAGGCGTCTTTTTCTGTCCATCTACTTGGATGAACTTTGTTGTGGTATTCAGTTTATGTAGTCTGTGACTGAACTGTGAGTTCAGTAGTGTAGTATTCAGTTAATGAATTACCAGTTCAGTACAGCTTTATATTCAGTTTATTTAGTCAACGACTTATCAGTTGAAATGGTATTGTATTCAGTGACTTATCAGATCAATTGTAGTATTCAGTGTACCAAGTGACTTTCAGTTAAGTGTGCCATGGTATTCAGTTTATTGGTGTGTTGTTCAGCGGTCTAGTCAGTGACTGAATTGATTAGCATATAGCAATATTAGGCTCATCTGACAAGGAATGTTACAGAGAAGTCTAATGACAATTATCAATACCAGCCATTGTCATTCACTTTCATGTCAGTAACTAGTATAAAGGGTTCATCTCATCTGTGATTTATTGTATTTATTTTAATCATCATTATCTACCATCATATAACAAGATCACCAGATCCCTTATCACCCGTCAGCCACTTGAAACATCAGTTAAGTGTTCTTTTTAATCCAGACTGAATTTTGTTCCTAAATTTGTTTAATGAGTTAAGACATTATAAGGATTATATACGAAAAACACTCCTATAATCAAGATTCAAATCATAGCTTAACCAACAAACTTTTGCCTGATGTTGAGATTTTTCTGCTTGTAAAATAAAACATTTTATGAGGGCCAGTTCCAGTGAAACCTCTACTGAACACCATGACTGCAAAATAAATTGCCTATATCCATGGTTCCATACCAGTCTATTACTTTATAAAGCAAATTATTATTCTAATTTAGGAGACATGGGTTGGAAAGATGCTTTACTGGAATGGCCCTCACAAATTCAATAACCGATTTTCTGCTTTTATGTTACTGATGAATTTATTTGGTTCTGAAATCAGTAGCTACATTTACAGAAGATATCAAAATCTCACTGTATAATACACTCAGAATTTATAATTGTCATAAACATGAATTTAATGCACTACTAGCTACTATTTCCATATTTCACCAGATCAAAGGAAAAGAAAAACAAGTTTATGTTTATATAAACTTTATTCTAATGTACACCTCATCAAATAGTTACAACAACCAATAAAACTTCAATATGTTATCGAAATTCATGATGATAAAAAAAAATTCACCTCTAGTAGAAGCTTTCTTGAATGCATGTAAAATTGTAGGAATAATGAGACTTCTAATGTCACTCTGCCATTAATGTTTCAGGACATGATCTGATAATGAAGATATGTAATAATTAAAAAAAAAAAAAAATTCTCGATGAAAAATGAACGACAGCAGAAATCTGAGTTGCTGCAGTTCTCATTCCGATGTGCTTGAACCTGACCGTGCTGGCGATCTGGATGCTGACCGATCACTGTTGTATTCTCCATTAACTGGTGCTGGACTTGCACTGCGTGACCGACTCCTAGATTTAGAAGCAACTGATTTGCTCTTACTCTTTGACCGACTACGTGATTTGGACTTGGACCTGCTCCGAGAGTGACTCCTGCGTCTGCTGCTCCTTTTTCTGTTGTCACTGTTTGACCTTGACCTCCTTCTACGGTCTCTGCTTCGGCTCCTACTCCTTGAGCGTGACCTGGATCGCCTCCTCTTCCTCCTGTCTCGATCTCTGGAGTCACTCCTAGACCTGGACCTATAACATTTATTTAATCATTTAGAATTTTTGAGGTTTATATATATACAAACTTATTGATCAATAGATTTACAAGAACAGAAAACTGATGTTCACATTGCTAATATGCTGTTTGGATTTGAGATGACATCGGAGTCTGAATACCAGAAATACAAACATTGATCACTCTAGAACATAATATTTATCACAAACTTTGTATATCAAATATAGTTTCAATAACAAATCAGCTTTACAAAAGCCAGTGCTTCAGATAAGCTGCAAATTAAAACAGTTTATCACTCTGTAGCTTTTTTTGTGGCAAATGTTCTAAGAGAATGACAAAGAACTTCAGCTTTTAGAAGCAATTAATATAACTAACACAAATTTAATGTTACAGACACATATATATATCAACATCACTAACGATATGAATAAATTCTGAGGCAAAATATCAGCTGACACAATGTACACAGAAGAGTGCAACCAAACCATTGCTCATTTTTGACTATTCTTAAAGAAAGAAGTCAGTTTGGCATATCAGAAACTTCTGGGTTTTGATATCAAAAAACATTTCAACTGTTGATGTTACATTCTAATTATTATCACATTTTCTTCTGATACGAGATATTAAGCAATTTTTCTCTTAAAGAACTCCTTTAACTGAAATGCTATTGCTACACTTACCTCCTTCTCCTCCTGGGTGATGGCGATCTGTATCGTCCACTTGACTGCCCTGGACGTCTGAAGCCGTAGTTACGGTCATCAGGACAATCCCTGGCCCAATGACCTGAACGATGACATCTGTAACAGTCATCAAAGCCCTGGAAGGAAAACAAAAATTTTTTAAATCTTTTTTAACTGGAACAATCAAAACACTTTTAAGAGTTTAACTACATAATGTGTACAATAAAATGATCTTATTGATAAATCAGAATAATGTTCCAAGGTATTCCCTGTTGTCTCTTTGATTCAGCCCTCTCAATGATACCATACTTATCTTTATTTGCCTTGAAGCCAAGTCGTATCTCCTGTGTTAACATTTTGAAAGGACCTTCCATTTTCTACCATTTTATGTCTTATAGATTCTAAAACAATTTATTTATCCTGGCAGTCATTGTTAAAGGTAAGCAGTAAAGCAATCTTTAAATCTAGGAAAGCATTCAATTTAGTATTGATAAATATACATCTAGCTCCTTATTCATCAGCAGGCTAGATACTTACTCTACTGACGACTGGACCACCGCCACCTCTACGGTTACCTTTGGCCCACTCCACTACAATACCAGATCCTGCAATTTCACGACCATTTTCATACTTAATAGCATCCTGCAATTAAAATAACAAATAAATCACAATTAAGCTGCAACATATACAACATCTAAGAGATAAGAAAGATATTTTGAACAGAAAATTTGTAAAGTGTATAAAAACAATGTGAATTTTTCAAGCATATATATTTAAGTATCAAGACTGTTGCAATTTGTCAAGTATATACTAGACATATAATAGACAATCAAAAACACCAGTAATACATTGAGTAACGATTAAGACAATACATGTACAGTGTAACCTGTCATAACTCTGCATAGCCTATGTATTAAAGTCTGGAAGACTTTCATACTGGCCCTATTGCTGGAGTTCTTTAAAGAAAGTTAACATGATAACCAAAAACAACTATTTTTACAGACAATTGTGAATTTAATTCAGACAGGTTTCACTGTATACTGTATTGAAACTACAATGTACTAAATGACCTACTGTTGATATACCATGGAATGGATCAGACTGATGGAGTCTGTCTTAGGAGTCTTGGTGGGACGGACATTTGACCGGTCAGACATGGATGGACACGAGAATTAACTTGGCACACTGAACTGGTCATTTGGTGAACAGAGGATTTGTGACTGAACTGACTGACCCACCGGCTCCGGCAGGCGGAGGTACTGGTATGGTACATGGTATTTGATTGGCTAATGCTGTGACCAATGGCTAGGGTTCAATGGTCTGTCTGCCTATGGGTGTTGGCAGGCAATGGGACTTTGGCACAATCTGTACTGGCATTGGCAGGCATTGGCAAGTCATGGCAAGGCAGGGGCTCGCTCACTGCTAAGGTTTGCCACAAATGATTCATTAATTTCAGAATAAAAATGAAAATTCAAAATTTCACCATTTATCACCTCCAAGTTATTTTCTCTTCATAATATGCTTCTCCAAATAAAGATGCAACTTTCTGTGCTTGAAAAACATCAATGAATGTCACACTGGCACTAGTATCTCCCTTTCTTTGTACAAAAAATTTACTTCTGAATCACTTATTTCAATCAACTTTTTTTTATTTTCCTTCTCTTAAAAAATGGCATCATAGAAAGTTTAACATTTAGAAAAAAAGTCTCTTCCATATCGTTCACCAATTAATTTTTATTAAGGTTATTTACACTGAATCAAAAAAAAAAACTTAGCAAATGTTAAATGAAGTTTAGAAAAACAGAATCATCATAAAATTTGATAACTTTACTTTTGTATAGTACAGTACCAAGTAAACCTATGCCAACACAAGCAGTTTTCCTTTATGACTTAAAAATGGTTTAAGAGCAATTATTATCATAGGTGTGATGATTGTCAAATTTTGTTAAACATATTTTTCATTTGAGGTTAAATTGTCAAAAATTTTCCTTTAAACTGTTCACCTTAAGCCAAACTGCCTTTTAGCAGAAATATTTATAAAAAAATTTAAAGTGTTTCCTAAAATTGAAAGAATTTTTCCAAACTGAGTCATAAGTCCATATTCTTCAAATGATCTATATCTAAATATTATCACTTCTACGAATGTATTTCGTACATGTTACTTCTGAAAAAGAATTTAGAATATTATTAGTAATTGTTATTTTTTTTACCTCTGCATCCCTGCGGTCTTCAAAGTCAACAAAGGCATAAGCTGAAAGCAAAGGAAAATAAATGTAACCAAAAGTAATAGCAGGTATTTACCGGACACAAAATCCTGTGTATATTACTCCCAAAACTAATGTCTGGACTCTCAAATAAATTACCCATGGGTCCCGTGGAATGCACGTTTATACTGCCTATTATAAATTGTCTTAATTACTGCACAGATACATTGTGGTTGGTGGGTTTGTTTGTGTTCATCACTGATCGTTAGAAACCATTTGAGCTATTGTCGCTAGAAAATCACCTGTTTGGAAATGCCCTTTTCTATTTTTAGAGCAGCACATGCGTATTTCGCAACTCTGCGTATGCCAATCTCAATTTGAGTCTAAAGGGCATACTAATATTAACTGAGTATCATTCGACAAAAAAATGGATTTAAGAAACTTCTTCGTACGAAAAAAGAATGATAATGAGAATGAGCAAGGAAGTGAAGCTACATGTAGTCAGGGTGAAGTGTCAGCTTCCGCCGACAAGGAAAGTGAGAATGAAAACTTACTGCCTATAGCTATAGGCATATTGATAGGCCTAGTGAGACAACTTCGCCAATAAAGAAAAAGGCTAAAGTTAGGACATTTCCGGACAATTGGTTGTCAATATATCCATGGTTGGAACGTGCGTCCGGTGGAGGTATACAGTGCAACATTTGTTTCCAAATAAAAGACCTAGAAAACCCATTCACAGGAACTGAAGGCTGTACTAATTACCTAAACTCTACACTCCTACGTCACGTTTCGAAAATGTATACCGATAGTGTGCTAAAATTACAGATGAAAAAGAACTTAGAAAAAAAGAGATTGAATGTTGAATAACAAAACATACAACTCCAAAGTGAAGCAATACATCCACACATTGTACAACTACGCACTGTTTATTTGATGTGTAAAAGGGACATTGCAGCAGATGTGTTTTCTGATTTAATGGAACTTCAGGTGTTAAATGGAGTGAAATGTCCATGTTTACAGTAGACCGTAGGTGATAACAGAAATCATATTTCAGTGTTAATGATCTTTTATGGATATACTATTGCCATAAAATAGTATGAATGAGTAAATTATGTGGACTCTCAATAAATATCGCGGTAGAATTGCATAACATCACTTGTCTGATTATTTAATTAAAATTCATTACTTTAAGAACTAAGCATTATCATATTTCAAATAAGACGAATGGTTCCACTTTCATAATTATCTTTGAACTCAAGTGATGAAAATATATAATTTTGAACCACTTAGTCTGCTATCGTCATGATGCCTCGATTGTGGAATTCTTCGATATTCACTCACCCATTTCAGCGCCTAAAAGAGAAAAGAAATCAATATTGACATTAATGAAACAATAAAACTTGGTCATTACTAGATATAGTTACCTCCCTTTATAAGCATGTGTAGAATATCATTTGCGAGGAAGTAATTTAGGTAGTAGTTTCCATGAAAGTAAGATGATTATAAAGGATCATGATCGTTAGTTACTTAATATATCAACAACGGGAGTTATTATCGCAGAACAACCTCTACATGCCAATCACATTGTTGTAGTGTAAAAATTGGAAACATGTCACGCCACGAAAACACATTCAACAAACTTCGTCAAAAAATAAGTGATCAATTGACTTCAACGATAGAGTTACTTACCATATTTAACTTCGCATCTTAGCAGCCGACCGTAAGCTTCAAAAACATCTTCTAAGTCACGCACCCTCGTACTTTTACTGAGTCTTCCAACAAAAAGCTGCCCTTCTCTTCGCGACATTTTGGTTTTCACACCAATAGCACTCTGGGAGGAACGGGGGAAATGACGAAACGAAGCAAAGTAAATTTAATAATTATTATTATAATTTTGTTGTTGTCATCGTCTCCAATTTCTACCTTGTCGATGACCTGTTGAATACTGGCGAATGGATTAATTATATCTACTATTCAATTATTATTTTTGTTTTATACATCGCGGACTTATATTGCTTGAGCATGTAGTACATATTTCGTTTCATTTGAAAATCATTTTAAAGGAATTCGGCGCATTCGATATCACGGACACCACGGTTGCGTTGCGGATGTTGATATATTTTATTTTATTTAAAATCAATAGATATATCTGTTGTCGATGTAAGAGATGCTATAATTCAACTTGATTGTTCTAAAGCTGTTGGCCCAGATCTAGTGAATCCACGTTTCGTTAAAGAAGCTGTAGATATCTGAATATAACCTCTTAGTATCCTTTTTAATAGATCTCTAAACTCTGGTGTAGGTCCATTAGAAGGGAAAATGGAATTTCATTCATGTATATAAAAAAGATAACAAGTCCATTTTAACTAATTATAAGCCTATATCCCCCAACCCCCGTAATCATGAATAATACGATCATTGCTGAAGTTGCTTCACATAAACATCTTGGCCTGCTATGGTTGTTGGAACATGTTAACTATATGAAATTTAAGATCTCATCCAAAATTAACATTGTGAGGAACTAAAGATTTACATTAGATCGTAGACGTCTTCAAACTATGTATTCCTTACTCATTCGGACTATATTAGAGTGAGGTGATATTGTTTGGGATAAACTAAATCCCAATCAGACTTATTGGAAGATCGCCCATTAGAAGCAGCGTGGATAGTTACTGGTGACACAAGGCCTTGGTCTCGCCCCACTATATCTACAAGATATTCTTCCTCAACGTAACAACCATATCCACGATCACTACGCCCGTGTGTCGGCAACAATTTTCGTCCCATTCCCTGCCGTACGACTTTATATAGTAAATCTTTTCTGCCTTCTGTAACTGAACTTTGGAATTCCTTGCCAGACTTAATTAAAAATGACCCATCGATTCTTGGACTGAAAAATCACCTCTTTGGTCATTCCCACAAAGTACCACTTTTATATGATATCGGTAGCAGGATGGACCAGATCAGCCACTCTAGATTGAGAATGGCCCGTAGCTCTTTCAGATTATACTTATACTGTTGAAATCTCGTTGATAGCCATTTATGTTCGTGTACGGAAAACGAAGAGACGAATGAACACTATTTGTTACATTGTGTCTTTCCCGCCAACTCCGTATACATGCCTTTGCGGCGATAAATCACGAAATCTCAAGTAAATTGCTCTTATTTGGTGTTGAAGAGTTATCAAACGATGAAAATGCATTAATATTTTGATGTACGCAAAATTTCATCCCCAGATTGAAAACTTTTTAATGAGTTTTCGTTATCTCTCTCAATACACGCATGTCCAGATCTTTTATTTACCATGAACTTTATATATATGCAGTTACTATACAATTTAAGATTGTTTTACAGTATATCTGAGCGACCCAGTCCCCGTTTCTCCCTCTTCTACTCCTATAGACAGTATACTTCGAGTATTACTGGGTTTTTCCCTGCTCACTTATTATGGTAATTTATGTCCGTAACATTGACTGCGTTTTCTCTAACTGGATATGGATTCATATATGTTGTAAAACTTGTTTCCATATCCAATTTCAATCACGTGTTTGATGTTACTACTTATGCTTTGTAAAGAGAAATGAAATAAAAGTTTATAAACTTTGGGTTACTGGTATCAAGTTTGTCAATAACGCCAATCAACCATTCACTAACGTTATCATAAAATAATTCCCATGTAAGCTTTTTCATGTTTTTAACCTGGTTTCTTTGGGTTTTTACATTAGTTTAGAACTGGACTTTACACATTTAAAGTTTTTGTCTAGTCGATTTCGTAGCCGCACAAGTTTCCCAGAGTTCATCTAAAGTTCGATACCATCATATTATTTTGATTTATTCTTAAAAAGGGGGTAGGGGAGTGGAGACTGTTCGATAAATTGAATACTGGCAGAATAAAAATTTTGAAAACATGCAATCCAATTAAGATTATCAATGGGAAAAAAACTTGTTAAAATCAACATATTTATATGATCAAACTTCATGTGTATAGGTACGAGACAGACTTACTTGTACAGAGAAAAATACTGTACACGCGTCGTAATCAGTGATATTATGGTAAAAAAAGTGAATCGGTACATTTCAGAGAAATATCACTTACTAGAAACCGGATCTTGTAAAATATGTCTCGTCATTCCATATCTTAATTAACGTTTCGATTGTGTGCTCGGTATCCAACACTAAGATATCCTTTCTCAAGGTTCCGTTCTAGTGCAGGCGGTCTTCGCGGCTTCGCAGTGCTCCAGAGGTGTTTTCAGTTGTTTGTTTAATTTAAATCCAGTATTTCTTAAACTGTTATTATTTTTAATGATAAATACAGATACCTCTTTACGTGTAGGTCTCGGACAAATGTCAGCTGGTTTTTGTGGTAAAAACGCAGCTTGATAACGCATTGTTGATTATCTTCTATACTGACTAATTCCAGAAACGCTAAGTGTGATGTGATTAATGCCCGTGAATATGAACGACTCCTAAATAATTCAATTACATTTCTTTATTTACGAAGTCTGGCAACATGGGGCAACGAAAGATATATCATAGACAGTAGAATCACCAATAAGACAAATGATAGACATAATATTTCAAGTTGGCCTGATAGGTCAGTGTTATAATGGCACATTATATAAACATTCATTATGCTATAATTGACAACAGAAGTTCTACTAGCAATTTTTCTAACGACTTAAGATTGTTTAGAAAAAGTATGTAGTATCTGAATTACGTCACAGGTTTGGCTAACAAATTTAGACGACGAAATTGAAAAATCGTTGTTCTAGTTATTCATTAGCCACAAAGGGATGAGAAGTAGGGACACTTATAACGTATAAAATAAGTCATTTCTGAATATCTGGTTATCGTTTTGCATTACAAGATGCAACAACTTTATTTTCTCCATGCACTGCTTCTGGTTTTGACTGTCTGTATAATTTACATGTACTATATTTCTAGAGAAAGGAATGCGCCAGCCATGTTTCATTTCTTACGATGTAAAATGACCTCTGACTGAGCGAAATAGCTTGATGAATCTGAATATGAGAACGTGACATAACCTGTATTTTACACTGCTATCACACCGAAGTATACTGCTGCCGGCTAACCAGCAGGCCATCCTACCCAGTCACAATGACAACGAGCAAACTAGTAGTTACACTGCTTTGACCACAATCTTGAGCGTTAGGCAGGGATTATTACTACAGCTGATATGTCCTGGCTATGTGGAATAAAGAATCCAGCCAAGTTACATGGACGTACATTTAATTAAGACCAAAAGCGAGGCGTTATACACTTTATGAAACAAATAGTCGTCTAGGAAGAAGAGAAAAGATACCAAATTCAACCGCCTCATGCGATCAAGCAATGGGGGTAACAGGGCTGGTTCGGAAAGGTCCCAAAGTTTGTAAACGTAATGAAGACGCTCAGCATGGACTTTGAAATCATTTCTATATAGTCAAATGTCTTACATTTTATTTACCATAAATCATCTCTTAACAGTTTTTTCTGTCATATTTTTTGTAAATATGACAATATCAAAATTCTGTAGTAGGAATTAAACAGATAATGATAAATACAGACCAAACAAAACCAAAACGTCATTGGGACTTCTCGACTTCATTTGTGATTTTATATAAAACACACACAGGTACTGAGTTCTGAACATCATTGTTATAAGTAGGCAAAATTGAGATGAAAAGGGTTGTACACGCGTGCGAACATATCGACGAAATCGGAAAAGTAGAATAGACAGAGTCCATTTTATAAAAAACAATTATCCGTCTGGAAGTAAGAGTAAAAGATTCCAAACTCAGACGCCCTGCGTCAACTAGGCTGTTTGATACTGATGCCAGCAGGGGCAGGTTCGGAACGGTCCAGAACTTTGTAAACATTATCAAGACGCTTAGCAAGGATCATTGAAATCGTTTTTATATATACAGTTAAATACATTGCATTCTATATACCATAAATCATCTAACGGGTTTTCCCGTTACCTTCTGTGATCAATCAATAAGTTAAGATAAACAAATAATAACAAAACTGTATTGTTATCACCTAGAGGAAATTAGATTTAAAAAAAAACGTGGTACAGACGAACGATAGAATAGTTTAAACTAAAAGACTCATATTAGACTCAAAATGAAAATTCATTTAAGATCCGACATGCAGACAATTTAACGAACTAGCAGGGAAATAACTTAATTTTTACCTTACTGGGTTTTTAAAGGCGTAAAAAGTCAAAACTGTACATCCCACAAGGCAACAATCACTTCCTTTAAACATCGTCTACCGATTTTGTACGAAAAGGTTTCTTTTAATTTCCAATACCAGTTGTCTTTAATAATTTTGCTGTCCGAATGCACCGGATGTTGAATCATTGTATCGCGCATGCTCATTAGGGCTGTACACGTTTGCCAATCACTGACAGCAAGCACCGGCGTGAAGAAAATAAACACAGCCATGGGTAACTATTTATTGTGTTATTTATGAAAACATCATATAGCACTTGCATTAATATCATATCTACATATGCTTTGCAACACCAAATTTGTCATCACCTGTAGAGCTGCTTTCATCCTCGCCCGTATGTATTTCGTCGACGTTGTTATAGACCCCCTCCATCCACATCAATGTTCAGGACCACGTATATGTTCATTCGTGTATGCATAAATTGCACTATTAGAATCTGTTGTTTAGTATATATATATGTATATATATATCTATATATTGCTCTAATGTATCTTATATAAAATTCCTCTAAACGTGTAAGACAGGTAAGTCTTAAAGCGGTTGTTAAAAAAACAAATTTGCTAGATCCACATTCACTGACAATCATACTTATGTTATGATAAGCAATTTTTGTTGGACACTTTCAAGTGCGTCCAGAATACTACTTCCAAAATATTGATGGGTCCCACTTCTTATATATATAAAACATATAGTAGATTCCCAAAATTTTGGCCAGTCTCACAGGGAAAACATGAGTCCAAGACGCAAATATATATCAGAAATGATGTGTATATTTTTTTGTAATTAATCCAAATTGCTAACCATCTAACAATTTACTAGTTCACCTTTAGTTTTTTTATTAATTGCAATGCGATATAGGGTCAGAAAAATACAAAATTGTCCCATAAACTAGATGGAAACAGCAACTTCCTCAAAAAGTTTAAGCAGCTGCATTTATATTCTAGACTTTGTACTGTTGTAAATCGACAAATTTGTGGAACTCATTGTATATCTGTATTTTCAATTTTCAATGTGATATATTCTAATTTTTATTGGTTATGATAAATAATAACCACAACATAGTAAGTTCAATTCTAATAAGGCTGCTGATTCTTATACAGTTACATAAATTTTGTTTTAATTATAGGACACAAAATCCTTTGCTGTCACCTAAAAATGGTTAATAGCAATATTTGCATAAAATCATTCAAATGAAATCATCACGAACATACAAACATTTTACAGAGGGAGTGGCTTTTTAATAACAAACTGAATATGTTAGATCTTAGATCTAGGTATAATGGTCATGTACTTCCAGTTTACGAAGGTCGTTCCTGTAGTAGTTAAACAACAATCACAAATCTTCAGAATTTGAAATAAAAATGGCATCTGGTGGCTGCCTTGAATATTGGACTCTTCTGTAAGTTTGCTATGGACATATAGGATACAGTAATACATACTGATGATGATATTCTTCATTTAATTAAGATCCTGCACTTTTGGCTGTGTATATCCTTGGAAATAGTGATCCAACCACTGGTATCACGTAAATCAAAGTGTTTACTGACTGGTTGACAGACCACCGACAAAATATGACAATAATTGACCCAACATTTCATATTTACTCTCACCGAATGCAAAAATGTCATTTTGAATATATATTGCAAAGTCTTTAAGAATTTTTGTACAGTTCTTGTTTCTGAAAATTTTCATAATCGGTTATCAGTACCTTAATGTTGCCTTATATCAAATTCATATTATGCATTATAAAGATGCCAATTCAATTCTTACGGAAATTGTATTTAAGTAAGGTATTTTAGGTTAAAGTTACAAAAAAGAAAAAAAGAACAAGATATTACTTAAACAGAGAATATATTCACTTTCTATAAATATTGACCACGCAGTTGGTCAATTAGGGAATGTATTAGCAACATAAAACAGTAAAAAGCTTATTTGGATTTAACCAATAATCAGTTTGGATTTTAATTGATTTCCCATCATATCCAATAAAGATTTATATGTGTGGATGGTTATTGAGTCTCAAGCGTACCTTTGGGGGTCAAAGATTTAAGGAAAGGAGAGGAGATCGATAATTGTTATAGCTGTGTTAGACCTATGATAGCGTGACTTCTCTTATTAGTGGATACCCATTTTATATTGAAGATTTGTTAATGTTTATTCCGTTTATACAAATTTTTGGGTAAGAGAACACAAAATTTGTCTTTAAAATATTCTGAACAATGTCATTATTTACAAAAATAACCATGTGTTATGCTCTAGATAATGCTGTACTGAAGACCTTTGTGATCCAGTAACAGGAGTAACCTTTGACTGTTTTTTTTTCAGGAGGCCTGATTAGCATGTTTTCTGGGTTGTTTGGATCAAGGGAAAGAAGAATATTGATCCTCGGATTAGATGGAGCTGGAAAGACTACAATTTTATATAAACTTCAAGTAGGAGAAGTAGTAACAACTATTCCCAGTAAGTGTATATGAATGCAAATGAATTGGCAAATGGCAAAATTCAAGTACATATTTGATAATCATTATGGTACTTTCATCTCCTTTGATGAAAAGTTTGATTAATGTTGCCAGGGAAACAGAACCATGTGATGATTAGGAAAGTAATACAACAGTAGTTGTCTTAACGTGTGTACATATACATTTATGATGCAAATATTATTTTGATTTTTTGCAGCAATTGGATTTAATGTGGAAACAGTGAATTACAAGAACCTGAAGTTTCAAGTGTGGGATTTAGGAGGTCAAACAAGTATAAGGTAGGATTAATATCCTCATCTTCATAGTCTGAATCTGTCACCTATAAACGCAAAATATACATGAAGGTGTAGCAACTCATGAAACAAAATATAAGAGTGAATTGTGACAAAATCTTTTACCAGATAGAGCATATTCAATTAGATAGCATGTTTGAGTATCCTGTACTTAGAATTCCAGTTTTGGCTTCATGAATCATCATAAAATATTTTGTGTAGACGAAGTTGATAAGTATTAATGTGTTGTACTTGCAGGCCCTATTGGCGTTGTTACTACTCAAACACAGATGCCATTATCTATGTAGTAGACAGTGTGGACAAAGACAGAATTGGCATCTCAAAACAGGAACTGGCCTCCATGCTCGGGGTAACATATATTCTTAAAGCACAACTGATATCACAGAAAGCTAACTCTAAATATACATTTAAGTGACATGCTGCTGATAAATGTTTGAGTTGTTTTTATCTCAATATGATAAATGTAGCAAACAATTTATTTTCCTCATCTTGGGTCAGTTGATTTTGTTTAAGCTTAAAAATTCTTTTAAAAAAAATCTAAAAAAAATAAAAATCCTAATAAATGTATCTTTAACAAATATGTGTTTGCAGTTAAGTTTTTTTCAAGGTCTGTGTGACCTTTCATCAAATCTTTTCTCAAAATAATGTACTCTTTTTCAGTTACCAGTTGTCAATATTGAAATTCAATCTTGATTTTACTTGTGTCACTTTGTAGGAAGAAGAATTAAAAAATGTGGTTATTGTGATATTTGCAAACAAGCAAGACATAGAGGGTGCCATGACCCCATCAGAAGTTTCTAATGCTCTTGGACTATCAACTCTCAAACATAAATATCAAATATTCAAAACATCTGCAATTAAGGGCACAGGATTAGATGAAGCTATGGAATGGTAAGTTGATTTGTAAATTGTTCTTTAGTAATTAACATCGCAATTTGTATCATATTCCTTCACTTTTTCTGGTTGTCAAAGTCCTTGATTCTACAAAACAGAGTGGCCAATTTCATTTTAAAAGTTTTACATTGAGATCTTTTGCTCCAAAGGTTAAATAGCTTAAACATAACTCTAATAGTGTGTCAGATTGGACATACATATGCATAATTCTTGTGTGTTTATTTTAATAGTTGATAATATTAAAACTGTTCTGATTTTTTCCAGGCTTTCAAATCAATTGACGCAGCAGAAATAAACTACAATTCAGTCTTATGATTTAACAAGAATTCCAGGCAAAAGCCGTTACAGTGCAGCAGCGCCTTGCTAAGGAGATTTGACCGGAACAAAAGACATGCTGATAAAATACAGAGAGTTGTGATGATGTGTATTTATACTGTATATACCTGGGGTGAACTAGAAACATTAATGTGCAGTGTCGTGTCAAACATACTCACTCTATCTTTTCAGATTAAGTAAGAATTTCTAGCAACACTTGAAAGACTGCATGTAGTTAAAATTATATCAGAGGTTTTATCATTCACTAATCCCTCACAGACAAAATAGTTGCATCATGTTTATTTGTCCATCAGTTTATCGATGGCATATTTTGTGTGCTCTAACCAACCTACTAATGTCAAATTTTGTCCGATATTCATCACATCCTGAAGTAAATTCTGTGTCCCAGTATGTAGAGACCTGTACCTTTGCTTATTTTAAACATAGAAGTTTACCCAGGACATACTGCTGGATCACTCCCCAAACTTGCTAAAAGTATTTAATCTTATAATATTATTTCTTCGTTGATAAGTGTGGAAAGCAATGCCACTAGTCTTTGATGGGATATTATGACGGCTTGCTTTGTTTTATTAAGAAAATAGGTGGTATATTTAAATGCTGCTTCAGTTTGAAATTTATACAAGTGCTTTTCTATATTGTTTAGAAACACTTTGTACTGTCCATCATAATGTAGTGACAAGTCTTGCTGTATGTCATTCCATCTTGCCCAATATCTATACAGACTAGAAATTCTTACTTAATGAGATAGGGTTTCTATTGAGTATTGACTATGTGAAATGGAGGGTCTAGTGAGATGAGGATACAGTAGTGCTTGGATGCTGTGTGATGTAAGTGGTTAAAAGATGGATATAAAATGTGTCTGAGATTGTTGTTGTGAATGAAATTGTGTGAAAGAAACTTGGATATTGTTGATTTGTATACTTTAAGATTGGTAATATATTTGTGGGAATTTCATTTTGTTATGATTGTGGTTTTGGAAGAAAGAATTTGTATGCATTTCAAATGTTCAAACATTAGATCGTAGTCTCTATGAAGAAATGTAGGCACCAATGTGTCGAAGCCTGCTCAGTAATGAAGATAGAACACTAAATTCCATGATTTGCTAGATTTTTTGGTGTTATGTAGTGATAGTGAAGACAGCAAATTGGTGGTTAATCAGATATCTGGTCTTTGGCTGTCAGTATTGAATTTAATTTCAAACCATTTGCTGCCAGGGTTTTGTTTTAATGTAACCATTTAAAACAACTCAATGTTATTTAATGGTAACTAAAACCACAGGTGAACTGGGCACATCTGATGACTGACCTTACCTGTATACTAATTGGTTCACTGACGTATGCGGAAGTAAACAGAAACAATCTTGTATACATTTATGTTAGCAGCTTTTGTTTTCTTATGTTTGTTTTGAAGTGCAATTGTTTGTTGTAGGTTTAAAGATAATCTCATATCTCAGTTTTTCAAAGTTCATTATATCTGTTGAACCAAGGTGGGCATGGTATCAGGTGACAGTAGTTCATTGTTTTTGAGTTGTGATAATATCATAAAAGAATCATACTCGTGTATAATTTTGGCTGACCCATTACACATTAAGCCATTTCCTCTTTTTTCTTTTTGTCAGCTGATCTTCATATAAAAGAAGTGAAAAAAATCATACACAGATATTACCAATAAAGTTGACCATAAATATTTGAGACTAAGTGTATTCTGACATCTTCATTAGAAACGTAGACTTGTCACATATAATGTAAAAAATACAAAGTGGAATTTTGCTGCAGTTCTTCAAGATAAGAAAGGAATATTTATCACACTGCATTCTGATTATTTGATAATATGGTAAAACAGATATCAGCGTGGACATATCTTATACAAAGCTAGCTTTCACTCGTTTCTCATTTGAAAATACATAACATATTTAAGTGGATTATGAGGTATGGATGTTTGTGTTTTTACCAGGTGTAGCAGATGGCTAACATAGATAATATGTAATGGTATGTGTGATTAGCAGGCCCCATAATCATGAAACAATCCTTTTAGCTTTGACCTAGCCAATCACGGTTAATGTGAAAAGATTTGTTATATGTGGTTGGTTAAGCAAAAACTACAGTATGAGATTGTTTCATAATCCCTAGGCCTGGTCTGAGGAGCTTAAGAACTGTTTTTAAAGTTTTCATTGTGAAGCTTACTAATCATTTCCTGAAGTTCTTCTTTGTTACTTACCTTCATTTAGAGCACTGTTTTCTTTTTTGTTTCTTTCAAATAGCTTTAGTAATATTTCAATATCTTGTCTTTAAATAGTACAAAGTTGAGGATTGGTTTTGTAAGTATCAAACCTGATACATACTTTTAAGCTTATAAAGTGTCTGTGTTAGTATGGAGCTGTATCTCCATTTTTGGCATGTTCTTAATTTGAAATATAAATTAGTAGTTATCAGAATTCTATTATTATTCCTTTATTGTTGTTGTATATGTCAAAGCTGCTTCAGTCCATTTTATATTGCCAAATTCAAACAAGATATATTTTATACAAAATGTAATCCAAGATGTATGATAAACACATCAGGAGATATAGAGACAGGTACGTACATTTATGTCTGAATAGTGATAGCTGTTCTATGGATGCCTGGAAAGACAACTCCATATGGTTAGAGATTACAAAATATTTACACAGCTCTCCTGTCAGTATCCTGTATCGTGAATGCACTGGTATATAATACATTCTTTCTATACAAATGTACGTTCCTATCATCATTCTAAATATTTTCTAAATATTACATTTACATATAACATTTCACCTGGGGATTCTTTTTATTTTTTTTTTAAATTTTAGGATGTATATAATATTCAATGGTAAAAAGACAGACTTTTAACATTCATAGGAATTTATTTCATAAAGTATTCATTCATTCTCATTCACTTTTTCAAGAAATCAATATCATTCTGTGAGTTTGACCAATATCTGTTTAATTTTATGTTACATAATACTGTTGAATTTGTCTTGTCAGTAATACACTGAAAGTGATATAGTTATGATATCTAGAAAGAACCCAACATCATTTTTCATTTCTATCTTATATCCAACAAGAACAAATATTGAAGTATTTTCACTTTTTAAAATGGACATAAATATGGAAGGATTATTTTTAAATATTTACTGGTTTAAACAATGATTTATCATATGCACTACTTAGTGTGTGTGTGTGTGAATATTCTGGTATCTAGAGGTTAAAATGTAAAAACTGGTATACCATATGTTGTCTTGTATAGTAGAGGCATATTTATTGAATAGGTATACCATGTATATATAGTTAAGTATACTCTAGATCTTTAAGATTGTCCAAATAGTTTTATAGCTTCTTTTCATTTAAATTATTCTGCATGATTTGCTCCAAATTAAAAATCTTTTTTCATTAGATAGATTGCCTGTAGATTCTTCTCAGAGTTTTGAATACTTTTTATCAAACCAGAATTTTTTATTTGTGTTTCTGTCTTTTCCAACACCAGGTTTTCATTTCTTGTAAATTCGTTTGTTACCTCATGGTGATCTGGTATCATAAATGGTGTCAATATTGAATTAGTGGTGAAATGAAGTATGTGTGACATATTTATCAGAGATTCAGTCAAACAGAAGAGTAATTTTGATGCTATGATAATGGTAACAATACATTATGATTTTTACCTTAGAGGCTTTAACCTAAAGAAGTCTCAGTTTGAATTACATTATTCTTTATACTAATAAACACAACAGAACTATTTGTCACTTTTGGTGGTCCATTACAATTGAAAGGAAGTCACTTGTGATCTCCAAGAATGACTAAGATGTAGCCATACTAGACTAAGAAGTAGTCACAAGCTGTGGTATCGTATTGCCTTAGTTTGATTATGTCACTGTCGTTTGATGTCAAAGTACTTGTATGTTTTATAGGAGGATTTGAATGGACAAACCAAGTGACCCTCAGTTTTTGTGACTTCAGGCTTGAATATATCTGTGTCCCTGATGTTACTTAGGATAGTGATCAATGTCCTAGTCAAAATGAAGTCATCACATCGTCTTAGTGACTATCAGTTGTGAGACGGATGTTATAACATGGTCCTAGTGATTATTAGTTGTCACACAGATGCTATTGTCCTATTGATTACCAGTCTACAAATGGATGTACTCTGGGCTTTAACTGATAATCTTGAAATTTTACCCATCACTCATCTTCTGTTTGTTTGTAAAACTTGAATTCTTATGCACAATAGTGAAATATATTGAAATAAAATGTTAAAACTCTTCACATGATTTTGTATTGATATTGTCTAGTGCCAGAACAGGTGACCCAATATTTGATTCATGGTTGATACCTCCAGCCGATGTTATCAGGTTAGCATTTCAACCGTCTGGTAACTGCTGTCAATGTCCTGCATTAGAAATCCGAGAAGGATAGATACATTGGCGATGTGTTTGTTAACTTCTGTTAGTGTTGTAATTAATTTTCTGTATGTACATGGTACACCTGAATGAAATTACTAGCCAAATCTCTCTCGATGTTTTCTACATTGTTTGTATAATTAACAGCATGTGAACAATTGGGGGTATACAATTTAGATGTCCTTCAGCAGAGTCCAAAATTTAAGGCTGCTTATCGGTTACGCTTCAGTTAGTCTGAATCGGTTCACTGGTCAACTTTGTTGGGTAACCGTTCCAACACTATTTGTAGTAAGTCTGATTTAATTCAGAATCCTGACATTGAGCTTCCTCGCTTCGAGTAATATTGCCGGTTTGAGGGTTAATGATTAACGTCATCCTTAATACCCCATATTAAAAGGAAACTCATTTCAACGAGAAAAATAATTTCTAGGTCACCCAACGGCTCATGGTATCCTATTGCCATTGCCTATTGTTAGTCAAGCCCATCCATTGATTGTTTATCTGGTAACTTTTTCAGCCTCTAGCCAAAAATGGTCACGAGATTCAAAACATGGAGGGTATCAAAATTGATTAATTTTTGGTTTCTGTCCTCACGGGGTCTCAGAGATGGGGCCAAAAGATGTAAAAGTGATTGGGTAGTCCATGGTAATGCATTTACTTTTCACCTAATGTCTGGGGTTTGATTCCCAAAATAGAAGTGAAATGGTAAGGGGGACATCTGCCCAATCATATGGGTTTTATGCAGGTACCCAAGGATACTTCAGGCTAAATTGGGACAGAACTCTGGTATTTCTACAAAAGAATTCTCTAGATTTCCCATATTGGAGCCCCATACCTCTTGCCCCTGGGGCAGAGACCTATCATATACATAAAATTCAATCCCATTCATCCAAGGATGCTTTAGATCAAATTTACACAAAATCTAATTGAATACAACATTTTTTCTTTTTGAGTCCCAGAGAGGTCAGACCCCTTGCTCATACAAATCTTCGTCCCTTCTCCCCTAAGGATGCTTCTGACCAAATTTGGTCAAAATCTGCTCAGTCATTCATGGCTAGTAGCAATTTGCAGGAAAAGTTGATTGGCCAATGCTTGATGATGCAGTATGCCACCTGGTTCACCTGGGCCAAAGCTTATGCAAAGATTTATCAAGTTGTAATGTCACTAGGTCAGAGGTCAACAACACTTAAAACAAGTAAAAATTTATTTGAAATCTTCCAACTTTTTGTGTAGGCATATGTGTTAAAATGTAGTTGGGAATTATGCAGTGATTATTTTTGGATTAAGTTTCAATGTCACAGGATGTAAGGTCAGCAACACTGACAAGTAGTAAAACAGGCCAATTTTCTCCAAAATGTCACCTTTTTATATAAGCATCAGCATCTGAGACATAATTTTCTAAAATCACACAAAATGCCATGTCCTTAACTGCCACTTTGAGTGCCACATGCATGTTATTTACGGGCAGCTTTGCTAGATAAAACTTTGGAGGAAATTCAACTACCCCGAGAAAAAACCTACAGATTTTAAATCTCTGCTCCTTGTAAACTTCAACGACCATCGAGGTCCAATGGGCCTCTTGCTATATGAAACGTATAGTTCTTTCTGATCATACTTCCTTAACTCCTTGGTAGCTGGTTTAATACTTACAGATGACTCAAAACATTTTATCCATTTATTATTCTTTATTATTGTACACTTAACAAAAAACATAATTTTCAGTTAATTTGCTTTTTAGATCTGTGCATTGCATTAGGAGATGTTGGAGTACAACTAATGAAGTAAAATCAATTATCCACAGAGGATCTCACATGAATGCCCATGTACATTAAACTTGTTGAAGGATTCAATCAAATTATTAAACAAATTTCACTAATTCCATACTGCATCATCATGAGTGTAAGAATTTATTTATCATATAACCCGTATTTCTCAAATATAAGGAAAAACTAACTTCCCTATAAGACCGACATGTTTTGATGCAGATGGTGCATTTTTCACGGGATGTGACTTACATATGACCTCAAAACAGAGTTACATTTACACATGTCTTACGATATTCATGACATGATACCACAACTCGGTTATGTGAAAAAGATCAATTCCAGCCTGTAACCATATATCTATTTTGAGGGTCACAACAACGTTTGACACAAGATTGTGTTTACTGTATAAACTAAAACTTTTTGAAGCACTTTAAGTTTTGTCTGTTCCACCCTTTGGTCAACTGAGCAAAAACAAAGATTTCAAAACTGAAGTATGTATTCCATGCACATACTTTTGAATAACAGGGTGAATAAAACACTTATTGAAGATGAAGTCTTCTGTGGTGGGCAAAAACATCCCAATATACAGTACATGTATTCCTTATTACACAAAATAAACACCTTGAAATTTAAACTATCACAGAATATGACTTGTACTCCAACTTATTGTGAAAAACTTGTTAATGTATTTTTTTTAATTAAAGTTTTCCATCATGATACAAATACAGACTTCGACTGGAAGCCAGTTAAATGCATTTTCTAACAAATTTGTTACCTGAAATACATTACAAAGAGTACTCTTACCCTCACAGTTAATGCATATTACATAATCATGTCCATGAATAACTAATGTGCTATGCTATGAAAAAAATGCCCAGACAAACATAAGGCAAAAAAACTCTCCATTGTATACATCATTTACCCTTCACCAAGTACATGTTATTTAATCAAAAATAAATTCAGTCCATGTACAGATGGATTGTCACTGTTCCAATCATCATCCTCAAAATTCCAGGAGTTACTCGGATCACTAACAATTAGCGCGGAAATCATCGTAACCACCATTGTATCGAGGATACCCAATTATCTGTTGTTCTATTAACGTATTTCAAATCTGTCTTAAGATGAATTCAAGACTGATATCAGAAAGTTAATGGAGCATGTTTGACTCTAGACAGATATGAAACATCTGAATAGTGTAAATATAACCTGATTTGGTAAAATCAAAATTCTAGTACATATCACTAACAAGTTAAATAGCCAACAATAAATTTACGAATCCAAAGTAATTACTTTAAAATCAGCATGAAGCACCTGCAATTTGTGCAATCATAATTGAGTAAATATTAACTTTCAGTGTGTAAACCACTAAATTATGTACATTTACAATAATCCTGACAAGGATTTTTATTAAAAATTCAACAACAAAATATTACATCAATATAATAGCAATAAGAATCTTGTCTATTGCAAATCCTTATAGTGACCAGTAACAAGAGACACCAAACATATGCATCTCTCACTTGGTAAATGCAAAATATTGTCATACTCTGACAATTATTTTTTTCATTGAAATTAATAAAACTTGCGTCAAATTTTTATGTATGATGACCTGTACCTTAAAAAACAACTACCATATTAAGATACCATGAATGTCCATTGCTGCAAAGCAAACAAGGTACATGTGTATCATTGAATCACTATAACATGGAGGCTGCCGGCCGATTTATTATCCGACATTATTGTGCTGACTGTAACAAGGCTTCTGTTATAAGTGTCTTACTGTTAATGTGTAAATCACTAACATTGTCGAGATCATGTTGAAAAGTAATCATCACCTCCACCCCTGGATAAGTTGACTGACCACTGACTCTTTTGTGATTTCTAATGAAACCTAAATTAATTTTCTATTTATAGTACCAGTGACCCTGACACCATTAACTTGAAATTAATTAAAGAAATGACATTGTTATTTAAGGAATCAATGAACTGAAGTTGACATGTCTGTTATATCCCCTTCAGGTGAGGGGCGGGGGAGGATAATTAGTTTAAACATGAGGATCTCGGAAATTGCGATTTTATTTGAATCTTGATCACCAAAATGTAAAATTTTCTCTTTTAATCATTCAATATTATTAATGTAATAACCAGTAAATCCATATTAACAGACATAAATCAAGGTAAAAGAGGCTTAATTATCTGATCATGATATTATATTTTGAAGGCAAGTTTACAATAATCAAACTATTTTGTGAAAGGAATGTTTGCAACTGACGCAAAGTATAAGGAATGATAAAGCTATCACAATCCAAACCTTTTAAGAATGTTGAGTAGGAGTTCATCCCTTACAAACACAGTGTCTCGCAGGTTACTCAGCTCAGCGTCTGACAAGTGAATACTCTCATCCACATATGTTATCTCTACATTGAAACCTAGCAGAATACAGGATCCCTTGCCATATGTAGAAACAACAACTGCCGGTTCATGGTTTCCATAACAGGCGAGAACTTCTGACGATTGTCCTGTTTTTTCCTGGAAAGTAACATCTTCCTTACTGTTGCAATACCCAAACATCTGATTAAGATCTCCACACTTCAAGTCCAGGGTAACAATGCGACCTGATTGGAAATTATCAGCAGATGTTCCAGCAGTTGACTGCAGGTTACAAGTTGTTTCTAAAATTAAAGAGTAAAATTTTCAATACACTTACCATTTTATTTCAATACTTCAATTCAACCAGAAAATGACAATTCATTTTTTTTTTTCAAATGCTGTTTGGTTATTTTAAAATAATTGTCCACTATAACCTTAGCAGGTAGGTTCAAGTAATTTCTTTCCGCAACTTAGTCTCTTTATTCCCGTTTTGAAGATGTCTACACATTTCAACGAAGATCCTTTTATCCTAATTTCAATGCCTTTGACGCCATGACCATTATTTGAGGATAAATACAGAAACGTGAAGGCCGAATGTGAACCACAAGGCAAGAATACACTTCAAGTGAACCCAGGAGTGAGGACCAAAGTAAGAAGTTTTAGACAATGACTAGAAGTGTAGGAGATATAGCATAGACTTGTATTTTTCATAAAGGTCAGAGGTGAGAATAAAGGTCTGATACAAGACACAACACTTCTCCAAGGCAATCCCATATTCCCAGCATGAAGTTCCAGTGACTTATAGTGAAAAAGATATATAGCCCAAACATTCAGTGCAAACAAACTTTTTCTTCAAAGTAGGTTAAAGGTCAAAATGAAGATCAGTGACCTACTTTTGATACATAACACATCACCTCAGCAAGGTGAACTCATATCCAAAGTAGTGATGGCAATAGAGCCCAGACATTTTTTTTCTGTAAAGTAGGTAATAGGTTATAATATAAGTCCGAGTGACCTACTTTTGTTCACGGACACACCACCTCAACATGGTAAACCCCATCCAAAGTATGATGTTCCAATGACCTGCAGTGTAGGAGGTAGGATGGAAGGACAGACACAACACAAATTATTACAGTCCCCCCCCACCAACCTCCTCCTTGTTGGAGGGTTAAGATCTGAGTATACCTGTTGATGACTTGGACTGTAGGTAGGTGCTGAACAATCCTGATACATTTCCCATCATCATCACCACCCCGCCATTTTCTATGAAGCTCAGTATATCTGTAAACACCTGATGGGCAGAGCTGATATCCTCAGTAGTTAGTGAGATCTCTCCAATAGCCAGCAATGCAGCATCCTTTTTCCAGTGCCCTGTAAAAAACAATAATGTATTATCTGGTGAAATATTTTCCTAAAAAAATGTAACAATATAGCAAATCTATTGAAATATTTTTTATTAAACAAGTTTTTGCAATATCAGATGAGACGTGTGAAAAAATTGATACCAAAATAGAAACGATGGACTCATATTTTTCTAAACAAACAGAACTTTATGCTGTATTGACTAAAATTGGTATCTTTCTATCTAAATACAAGCTTAAAACAAATGCAAATGTGCAGCTAGCTGCTCAAACACAAAGTTTTACAAACGAACACAAGACTGACCTTCTTTCATCTTGGTGTCATTAAGAAGGGTAATGGTTGTGTGAGTGGTATTAACAAGTGACGACATGCCTCTGAGCAAGGCTTCTGAGCTCCAGGGACACGCCATCTTTCCATTGTACACATAAACTGTAGAAGTGGAACATGGCCGAATGGAGTAGTGGTCGGCTATAGCTGTCCACACTTTACCACTGTCATCTGTACATCACAGCAAATTGGAACAGATTAAAAAGAGAATCTCTTCAACCCTAAAACACTACGACAATCATCAATCAGTTATTAAGTTTGAATTTCAGGGTTAGAAGGTCAAGGCCAAAGTTATTATTTTCAAAAATTCATTCTTAGCATTTGATTCCTTCAGGAATTTTGATCAAACAGGTTTTTAGGATCAAATCATGGGACACGTTACTATTTTTGCAAATTCCTTGTAGCATTCTAGCAGTATTGAGAGATTTTGATAAAACTTCACAAACATTCCCTTTTTCTTTCATTTCTATTTCACTTTCTGTTTATTTTTTTTGTTTTGATTAATTACACACAGACTTAATATCACATTTGGTCCTCCATTTTAGAGAGAACCAATTTCATCACCATCTAACAAAATGGCCCCTTGATTTAATGTTGTGTTCCATGCATGTTTTGGGTATAAAATTGTTGATACCTCTATCTGAACAGCAGAAAGTAAAAAAAAAAATTCTATATACAGTATTATATTTGATTTGATAAAATACAAGTTAAGGTAGCATTCTACACAGACAAGAGGTACTTAAATAATTACATAGAAAATATATACTTATGTATATTTGTTGGACGATTAATCAAGAATTTGTATTGACAGGTCATCATTATAAACCATAGATCATAATTATTACTTAGAGATCTTAACAGCAACAAAAGAGTCATTATAAAGTCTATAAGGCTTATTGAACTTCTTGAAGAAAATGGAGTTCTTTATTTTTCATTTTAGATACACAAGATTGTATAATATTCTGATGTATAAAATATTTATTGATTTACACTTTCTTGGTAAATGCAATTTAACTGCAACATCTTAACTTGACTAAAAAACTATTGCCTATAACAGCTTAACTGACTGAGACACTATTGCCTTTAAGAGCTTAACTTTACTGAAACACTATTGCCTATAACATCTTAACTGACTGAGACACTATTGCTTTGAGAGCTTAACTGACTGAAACACTATTGCCTATGACAGTGATCTTCTGTAAATGTTATTATAAGTATACCTTTAAGCTTGATGGACCAGTTGTCCATAAATTCCTCCAGTGTCCCATCAGTCACTTTTTGATTCAATTCGCTGTGAATCTTGACTGGATCACCAAGCTGGAAAAGCTGGTATTTGATGGCTCTCTGGAATAAATCTTCCTTCGTCAGCGGCAAGAAGTCCTCTAGGTACTTGCTCATTTTAGCCAGGAACTCTTCACGATTAACAATATTACCCTTCAGCTGACTGCGGGCGCTTGTGGATATCTTGTGTAGTTCTGGGTGTCTGCGTACATCGGCATTCACATTCACACCAATGCCAACAATACACAAACGTTTTGATTGGTCAGCTGTTTGAAATTAAAAAAACAAATTGCCTTGTATGCAAAATATTGATATTTTTCTTATAAATCAAACTTAACTACTACTTCATGAAAATAACAAACCAAAAGATCCCAGCACAAAACTGAAATGGGAAACTTTTTAAAATCTCTCCATATTCCATAGCATCTTAAGGTATGTATGTCCTACAATGAGGTCAGGGGGCCAACACATTGATTCTAGCTCAAAGTAAGGAAAATATTGAAAACAGTGATTTTTGTACTACCATGACAATAGAGCAAATATCAAAAGTAAAATCTCACCAATAGTGAAAGACATAACAAGGGTAAAAGCCCTATATATATATATACAAAGTTTTGTCAAAATGAATTAAAAAGTTTTTAATTGGTAACTTGGGGAGAAAATACTCAAATAGAAGCATGCACAGACAGATTCATATACAGACATGGCCGAATTCAATACCCCCAGCAAACATATTTTAGAATGGGTGAATTTTTGTGGAGGAAAAAAAAATACAAGATGCATGTAAGGATTGTATTGATCAGCTAGTTTAGTGTGCCAAAATTGATTAATTTAAACAGGAAAAAGTAACTAAAACACTTGTATCTATTTCCCTGTAATAGAAATGCTCTTCCTTCCAAAGGGAGTCAGATGTACAAGTTCTCTCCATCAAGGATGTCTTCAGTTCTAACAGAAGAGAGAGTTTAAACAATTTGCTCTATTTCTACTATTTGGCCCTGCCCCCAACCCCAGGGGGCCAGTACTCTATGTTCCTTCAAAATTGATGCCATTCACCTAAGCATGCCTCAGACCAAATTCAGACAGAATCCAGGCATTCTTACATAAGAAGAAAGATTTTAAAGGCATTTTCCTTATTTCCCCAATTAGGCCCCACCCCTCCCAACCTTGGGGGTCAAGATCCATCGTATATATAAAATTGAGTCCTCTTCATCCAAGATTGCTTCTGCTGAAATACTAAGTACTATTAACTAGCTCCATATAAAAATTACACAGCATCAGAGAACAAAACTTCAGTTTATTTGGGGATTTTTAGCTCACCTGGCCCAAATGGCCAAGTGAGCTTTCGCTGTTGCACGGCATCTCTCGTCCTTCTATCTGTCTGGCATCAACTTTTTCCTTTAAGCAACTTCTTCACAATAACCATTGACCAAATATTTTAATATTTGGCAGTTTGTTCCTAGGATAAAGCCTGACAAAGTTTGTGAAAAGAAATGACCTTGACCTATATTCAAAGTCACAGGGGCCAGATTTGTTAAAATATTTAAGCTACTTCTTCTCATGAACTAAAGGGCCTAGAGGCATGATATTTGGCTGGTATGTTCCTAGGATAAAGCCTGACAAAGTTTGCGAAAAGAAATGGCCTTGACTTATATTCAAGGTCACAGGGTCAAATTTGACAAAACCTTTAAATGAGTTCTTGTCATAAACTAAAAGGCCTAGAAGCTGGTATCTTCATAGGATGTAGTCTGACAAAGTTTGCGAAATGGCCTTGACCTTTATTCAAGGTAATAGGGTCTAATTTGTTAAACCTTTAAGCACATTTTCTCATGTACTGAAAGGTCTAGAGGCATGATATTTAACATGTATATATATAACAGGTAAGCACTACAGGTCCCTTGGGCCTATTGTTGATTACCTTTTTTTTCAAAATTATCATTCAAATCTTTGCAATTGGTTCTTTCTGCAAAAGGTTTACACAGGAATTTGTACATGTAATGAAAATAAATACTCCAAATTTTCCTCCTTCAAAGTCAAACAAATACTCTATCTCTCACCACCAATGGCAATCATAACTCTTGTAAATACACTTACAAAAGGATATATATACAATCTGGCACTTGTTTGATAATAGTAGCTTCTGACTTACTAGGCAATGGTCCTTTATCTTCCACCAAAATTCCTGCCATTTTATGACCTCTAACCCAGATGTCATTTAGCCATTTGATGTTGATACCCTCTACACCAATGTCATGTAATGCCGTGTAGACAGCCAGAGCTGCGGAAACCTCCATCAGGCACTCATCTCGTCTGGGATCCTGAGATCAGAGATTTGTGTTGTTACATACATATATCTTCACTGTTAACTCTGAAGTTCATTTCACAAGTAATGCTTTTGTCACAAACTGTTACAAAGATACCAAAATCTACATTAGAAATTAAAATTAATCATTCCATTAGAAAAATATGTTTTCGATGATATCCTAATCTCTATAAAATAATAGTAGGGATCTAGATAGCCAATGAGAGAAAAGACATAAATGTCAGTGACGCTAAGGGCCTAAACTTTGAAGTACAGTAGGCTGTTTGGGGAATCTAAGTGACCAAAAGAAAAATTAAAACCTAGACGAGGAGGTACACTAGACCCATAATTCGATAAATTTCATTATTTTGATAGACCAAAGAAAAATGTATAAACGGATTTTAAGAATTTCATAGCTCTATCAGAATTGATTCGTCTCATGTTTATTGCATAATCCACCTGTTATCCAGTGAATTTGTCACTAGAGTAATATGCCTTGGGTTGTTTTTCATTGGATGTGCCAGTCAAATGCCCTAATGTGGCCAACAACATTACATCATGAACTGAATATCATGCAACAAAATGGCTGTTTCTGTTTGATATCATAATTCATATTTTTACTTTAAAACATGTCAAAAGCTAAATATTCTGAGTTATGTGATGAAAAATAGCTCATCATTTCATTTCCATTCATACAAGTTTTTATGAAACTTGTCTCGAAGATTTAATTTTTAACTGTCAAGACTCACAAAAATAAAAATTTCCAAGATTTGTTTCATAAAATCTCACATGAGAAGAAAAGTCATTTAAGATCCAGTATCTATTGCAAGTTGCATGTTATATAAACTCCATAATGCAATATATTTATATGGAAATAAATTGATTGTTAAAAAACGTAAGTGATATACCTCCAGGACTGCTACTCTGTGGTAAACATAAGATATGTAAATGTTTCCTGTGTTTTGTGCGTTCCATTTGCGGTTCTTCATTCCTCTAGCCTTAGACTGCTGTTCAGCCATGATAGCAGTGCCATTTGGTGTTCCTATTATAAATTATTAATCAATTAATTAATTAAACCCTGGACATACGCTTTAGATGGTGAGATTTCCTCGTCTCACTTACAGGTTAAATCTAAAAAGAGTTTCCCTTTCATATCAATGACAGCATGTCAAAGATTTACAGCATTGTGAAAACAATAATATATACCTAGGAAAGCCAGCAGGGTAAGAGAAATACAATAATGGAATGAGGGATGTCAAACCTCAGAAAAGATTATTAAGTTGCAAGCACTTAGCAAGCCTCATGTTTGCTGACATCTTTCCCCTTAGGTTAAAATCTCTCTATTTAACCTCCATTGGGTGAAAGATTCTATAATAAACTGAAAAGTTCAGATCAGCTATCCTACTAATAAAAGTCAATTAAATCCATAGTTAGCTTGACAACTTGAAATTTTCAAACCCAGCATAGGATTTCCTTTTGTAATTTCGTAGAGATTTTTAATCTGTTATAGTGACACAATGTACACTGTACACTCATACGATGCATGATACATATATATAAACAACACATGACTCATTTTCATTTTTGAATTAGTTAGCATAACTAGATACTCTGAAATAAACAAGTTATTGTATGTACATACTGGTTCAGATACCTAGTATGTATCTAATGCTTGCTTAAAACTTATTCCTAATGTACAAGTTCACTACAACCAGTTTTATCATTCACTTCATCAATTTGAAATTGCACTGGCATTGACCCAAAAGAATTCCAATTTCCAGTACATGAACTATATTTGCCAAAGATATACACTTTACTCCAAAAATACATCAACACATTATTTTGACTTGTTCTTACATAATGAGCTTGAACATGAGAAAACTGAAATTGTTAATTTTGTTTTGAGGAAAATACAGTAGTTAATTTATCATTTTGTAATTAAACAGGTATAACCACATTCACAAACGATTCAATCTCTTAGATTTCCATAAAAATACTGATGGGAATATTGCTTTTTTCAATATTCAAGATTTCATTGAGAAAATGCTATTCAAACATTTCCTTTTTAAGTTTTTGATTGAACGTAATGTTCACTTACATTCTATATGTATTTACTTATTGTATTGTGTGATTTGGATGTAGTCTTAAACTATGTCACCATACTCATTAGTTTTTAAATGGGTCAAGCATAGGGTCGTTTTAACGAGAAAAAATAACTACTGTTAGAGTATGTAACTTAAATTCAGTGACATAAAAATTATCATGCAGTAGTAAAACCAATTAGTCAACAAAGAAATGGTACCAGAGGCATATGTCATTACATTCATACTGATATTAGTATGGGTGTAGTGACAGACGAGGCTGGTACCTTTGAATAAACAAACCCATAGTATATGTATGTTAAACGGACAAAATCATCTACTCAACGTGAATGTCATCATATTTGACAATCCGTGAAGGATTCGTTACAATTAAATTTACATATTGTATGCAAATGGTGGCCGATAAGGGTGAAACTAGTACTACTCAGTCTACTGATTTATGAGTGTGGTCTCTTGAACCTACCTTCATATGCAGCGTTCAAAGCATCGTCCATTGTCGTCTCTGTCATATCTTTGTATATCAATTTCTTTCCGAATTCATTTGCAGTTAAATGTTTTTCGAATTCGGCTAAGCTAAACATATCTAGCGCCATTTCAACTGCTGGATGTTCCACACGTCAACCAGTCTGGAATAACCAGCCTCTTTCCTCGAAAGTGAAAGTAGTTCAACCGGAAGTACTTAATATAGCACACATACTGCCTTGTACATCGTTGACAGGTTTCATTATGGAAGTAGTATCTATTATAGCTCAATCCTTTTATTATCAACCATGGGTACGAGTAATTATGAAAACAAATTAATAAACATTTTGTAGAAACTGAGTCTATATAACAGCGAAATAGTAAGGTAATTCACTATCTGTGTAACGCCTACATATCGATACTTGCGATAAAGTAGTAACGCGAGATAATACGAGATCTTGCAACTCCCGCGTTTTCAGGATCAAAAATAAAAACAAGAAGGTAAGCAAGAAAATAGTTTCCAAGGCCTACAACACAACCGTAGAGGCTAGCGTGTCCACTTCATGATTTATGTATTTTCATAACGCTCACGTGTTGTCATTTTCTTCAGAAATGGATGTTATGTTACAGTTCTGAACTCCCAAGTTTCATTTTCACCGTATTTGTTTCCCTGTAAACCTTGTGTGATTGTAACACACTCAGCGGGATGATATTGGTAATAATTTATTGCTAATAATATTGCCCCCTCCTATTCATGATCGGTTTGTTACCATAACTACAACACTGAAATATGTAAAATTATTCGCGGACTTTTGACAGTTTAGGAAAGAATCTTGTCGCACATTCAAAGATTGGAACAACCCCCTTTCTGAAATTATCACCTCTGACTTTACTTTCATTCTCAAGATCTCTGCTCATCAGTACTTTGTCCTGTTCCCTGCATTACTTCCCTAGCACTATTCCTACACATGGCACTATCTTCACTATGTTGAAGTACATGTAGGTCATCAACTGGTACAAAAAAAATTAATGAATTCTGTACTTCTGTAAATTTTGATAGCAGATGTGACAATTTACAGATTTTGGAATTTAATTCTTCTCGTTGTTTGATAATCAAACAAATTGAAAGAGGAAAGTCTAAAAATGTGTCTCTTTGTCAGAATTATTCTGAAGTTCTATCTACTGAATCAGTCTGTAATCAACTATAATTTGAGCTACTCTAGATGTCACAGTGAGAGCATCACACGTTTAGAATAGATCAAGATCTAACAGAATCTGTGATATCTGACCCAAATACAAAATGTTTCAAAAATATTTTGGGAAAACAAAGACAGAGCCAAACATTCAATTTGAACTTTAGGTTTTAATTTACTAGAACTTTACAGTCAGTATAATTCCAATGTTACACTGTATTTTGGTTCGTTCATTTTCTTATTATATATGCTATGTATTGTGTGATTTTGAGATTGGTGAGGATTAACCAATTCCTGTACTGAAATACAATGATACTTCAAACAAATGCCTGGTTCTAGTCTGCATAATTATGAACTGTAGCTGAAAATAGTCAATTTTAAGGTAGCTCAATTTGTAGAGCATCCATTTAGAGTTTGGAGGGTCTTGGGTTATAACACTGATCTGGCAGTGCATTTTTCCATTCTTATTACAAACTGATATCTGTAACGAAACATTGCTTCATGTAGGAGAATTCTTGATCAGGGGATACCGAAACCTAGGTTGTCAATAGTTTTGTCTTTGGGGAGTGAGACTAAGAAATAGGAGGGAGGAATGTAGCAGTACTGGAATGTATCATGCATTTTTTCACTCCTGTTTCATATGGTCAGTTGATGAAACTGTTGCTCAGTGGCCTCATATGTTAAAGGAGTTGTGCAAACATGCAATTTATTATACATTTTTGTATGAATCACATTCTGGTGAGTAGAAAGAGTGTCTTTTCCAACTTAAAGTAAATCATCGTTACACATGTTAAGCAAGCTAATTATATGATATTGGTATTAATCATTTGTAAGAATGTACATTGATTCCCTTCGACTGCCTCAACAGCCTTGATAATTGATCTGTGGTGTGTTAATCTACAGCTAAAAGAACCAAAATAGCTCAGTGACAGTAGACAGTTTTTTTTGCTAATAATGTAGTATGTAGGAGCAGTACTGACCCATTCCTCAGTAACATGTACTCCGTTTGTTCTGACATTCCTATAATATACATGGTGTGGAAGTTTGTAGTTATTCAATTATAACAAAATGTTCTTTAACTTCATACACATTCTTAGAATTATTGGATGTTTAGTTTAAATTAGTAAAACATAAACAACTTTCTGTGACAAATAAGAAGTTTTAAAACTCACTTGAAAATGACAGAAGTTTCAGCATGTAAGGCTCAATTTGTTTTCCTACAATATTCTTGATATAGACATGCAATTACCATCATTGTAACTTATTAAAATTAATTAATCAATATTAAACTTGTGCATTAACATTATGTATCTGGTTAGATGTTTAGAATATCACATGACTGTGTGTTGCCAATGATCAAACTACAGGCGATTTTTTTCTGTTACAGTGTGTATAGATACTCATGATTGCAGAGGAGAGACCAGACTAATCAGCTGTACAATGGATTCTAAAAAGTTAGGACCACCTGCAAAGAAAGCCAGGTACTTAATATTGTATTATTACAGTGACAGAATGGGAGATATTCAAACCAATCAGTGTGGGTTTTTTTTTTAATTCTTTTCTAAAGATCCTGGTATTAATGATATTCTTCACATATGTAATTTATCTTTTTACAGAGTTGTTATTTTCATATTAATAAATCTATGTTAGAAAATATTGTACATAAACAGAATTTTGGTTTTGTAGAAATGACTTTGATGATGAGGATCAAGCAGGTTTTGAGGATGAGCTGGCTTTGTTTGATGAAATGGAAAGTGAACTGAAGGGAGATGTTGACATGGCAGATGAAGTTGCAGGTAAAATCCCACAAAGTAAATTCAGATGTTGATTTAATAATAATAGACAGGAAATTCACTTAACACAGGTCACTGGAATGCTACACATCTTCTTTATACACTAAATAAAGTAACTGTAGCTCAAATTGAATACATGTATATGCTGTCCATGTTTTATTCAGGTGATGGTCCAGACAATGTGCCTACAAGTACAAAATGGTCCAGGCCTCCTGCTCCTATACTTAACCCCAAAAAAGACTCCATGACTTTTCAGCAGATGGATGTAGATTATTATATTGGTGAGAGCTTGATTTTCTATTCTGGTCACAAAAATATACATGTATATTGCCTGAAGTTTTCTCCAATTTTTATTTTATATAGATATCTCTAAGATCACTAAGGCCACAGAAAATTTTAAATTTCCCAAAAGTTTAGTATTTTGAATCAATTTTTACATATACTGGTGGTGTTTTCCTATTGAGAAATAACAAAAATTCATTTTTGCATCACACGTCTTAATAGTGTTGATAACTTCAGGATGAAAATTGAAAATTATTTTGAAAAGGGAAATTTTTTCATTTGTGTCTGCAAGAAAACACATTTTTGCAGTAAAACTAGTATCTGACATTTGTGTTTTCAGGTAAACATATGGCAGGTATGCCTGGATCCACAAGTGGCCCTGTGCCTATTATTAGGATGTATGGTGTAACGATGGAAGGCCACAGTGTTTTAGCTCACATTCATGGATTTGCACCATACTTCTTTGTGCCTGCTCAGCCAGGGTTTAAAAACGAGGACTGTGATGCTTTCCGGGTAATGCTCACCAGTAGAGAGGAATATTATTGACTGTCCTACATATTTGAGAAGAATTTCATATATATTTTCAGCGATGATTGATCAAGTTAAAATTTATTTTCATTAGTTGTCAGTTTGATTTATAGACTTGTTACCCAATTTTTGGGGAATTTTTTCATTTGAATAATAATTTTGCTGATGAATATTAAATGGCTATTCACCTTACTTACAGTTTTTGAAAATTGATGCAAATTTGAGTTCACTAGTATACAATATTGAGATATCTCAATATGATTGCATTGATCAATCAAGGCTATGATGATACTGAGAGAGTAATATTGTTTAAACTGTTTTACAGACTTCATTAGACACTGTTGTTATGAAGGATCTGAGGTCTAACAGAGAGGGTCTACAGAGTGCAGTGTTGGCTGTTGACATGATGAACAAAGAGAGTGAGTCAGATTCATTGTTATATAACTTCCATAATAAGTCTTAACAAAATCTGCCATGTTGTCATAGTACCTTATGCTGAATAATCTTTCATTGAATAGCATTGTAGTACCCCTAAAGATATACCTGTTTGAAGAATAATCAATGAAATGGTCACCAATAGGCAATTGTCCACTCATATTGTTGTTAGCTACCATTTTTCTAAGTTTTTGGAATTTTAATTGTGACAACTAAAAAGTATAGCAGTGACGTTTATATTTGAGGACAGTTTCCAGGGAATTTCCAGGACCCTGACGCTCTTCAATGTTGACTTTTTAGCTCACTCATAACAAACTGACTTTCCTTCCACAGTTAAAATTCTTATTTGTAATGTTTACTTTGGAAGACTGTGTCTCAAAAAGCCCATACTCCAATATCCCAATGAAATACTACACTGAGGTCATTTAGATATGGGTAGCTGGGTTGAATAAGTAACACCCACTATGGTTACAGCTGATCATGATTTATTTGTTAGGCATTTATGGCTACCATGGCAACAGAAAAGTGCCATTCCTAAAGATCACTGTGGCCCTGCCGCGTTTAATTGCACCAGCCAAACGATTATTGGAGCAGGGATTCACTTGTCCGGGATATTTACAGCATGGATTTCAGTCTTATGAAAGCAACATAGACTTTGAAGTTCGGTAAGAAAATACAAATTTGTCTGTAATGTTAATTAAGGATCTAATATTTCATTATAATCATGAGTTTCATCTGATATTATCAAGTATTTTGTTATCAGTCATTCTGATTAACATTTCAAAGTTTGGATTTTGATTAACCCTGAAAGAAATGTTGAATAAATTGTTATATGAATGAATGTAATTGTTTTTCGTTCCCACTTTTATGAAGAGAGCATGTCTTTGTTTATGATCTGTCTCTATATTTAAAATGATTTCTGTGTTTACTCTAGCTTCATGGTAGACAGTGATGTTGTCGGCTGTAATTGGATTGAAGTTCCTGCTGGAAAATACCAGCTACGAAATCGAAGAAACATTTCAAATGCTGACAGTCGTCATCCTGCTCATACTTCACGTTGCCAGGTGGAGCTAGATGTATCTTGGGAAGACTTCATATCTCACAGTCCAGAAGGAGAATGGTCAAAGGTGGCACCCTTGAGGATCCTCAGTTTTGACATAGAATGTGCTGGTAGGAAAGGTATGTCGGTCATATGTTTTGTCCTACCTGAAAAAAATGTGAGTGTGTCCTGTGTTGAAAAAGGAAACCATCTCATCATTCCATAGAAGTCTGTGAATATTGGACTCTTTTTCTTTGTCAGGAATCTTCCCCGAGGCAGATAAGGATCCTGTTATACAGATTGCTAATATGGTGATTAGGCAGGGAGATCGTGAACCCTTCATCAGGAATGTGTTCACCCTCAACACCTGTGCCCCAGTCATAGGCTCACAAGTCCTGTGTCATATGAAGGAGGCCGACCTGTTGGAGGTATGTTATGTCCAATACTTGTGCCCCAGTCATAGGTTCACAACTCCTTTGTCATATGAAGGAGGCCGACCTGTTGGAGGTATGTTATGTCCAACACTTGTGCCGCAGTCATAGGTTTACAAGTCCTGTGTTATATGAAAGAGGCAGATATGTAATATGAGTACAAGATCAGCCTGTTGTTGATACAGAGAATGGATCACACTCAAGTATAAAATGGATATACATAATATGTTGGAGCCATGTCATTTTCCCTTCCCTTGTACTAAGTAGAATATCTTTGAAATAGTACGATGTAAGACATTCTGTGTTGATGCAGCAATAAACTGATGCCTTAAATATCATTGTTTAGTAATAAGCCTGATCCCCTTTTTTGGGTCAGAGGTTGAATGTGTTTGTCTCCTTAAACAGGTTTAAAAGTAAGAAATGTTTCTGTTCCCACAGAAATGGGCTGCATTCGTACGAGAGGTAGATCCAGATATTATCACTGGGTATAACATTCAGAACTTCGACACCCCCTACCTCATCAACAGGGCCAATCATCTCAAAGTGAAGGACTTTACGTTCCTGGGACGTATTCGAGACATTAAGTCAGTCATAAAAGAATCAACTTTTCAGAGTAAACAAATGGGAAAGCGTGAAAACAAAGTGGTTAACATGGAGGGCCGCACACAGTTGGATCTCTTCCAGGTTTGATATTGTTTTAACTTTAATAGCAGTCTTACTGTCACATTTTTGACATTAAGGAAAAGAGAAAAGATCGGATGATGTTTGAAATTGAAGTAGGAATATTTTTGATGTAGACCAAACTTTGCTTGATATTGCACCTCAGCCACTAGGTTCATTGAGCTTTGACACACACTCACCTAGGCTTGACCATTTGACATGCTAAGTTAAATTAAACTATTCCTCAGCTACTAATTTGCGGAATAGTGCTCTGAAAGAAAATTCTACATATGAAGAGGTCATGTTTATGACAGAAATGTATTCTGATCAATTAACTTTCCTCTAAGGCCTTTTCCTAGTGTAAATCTTTATCAGTATTTTATGTTGCAATTTAATGCCTGATTTGTGATAATGACGACAGTTTCCTTATCAATTATTATAGCCTATACTTGAAATTGAACTGTTTTCAACATGAAAAAAATTACCAATTAGAAATCATTAAGAAATGACAAAAACCAAATGCTGTTTTTAGTTAAAAACCAAGATTATAAAATCAGTGTGTATTTGATAACTGCCATTAAATTTCAGATTGTTTTAAGGGACTACAAATTGCGATCATATTCTCTGAATGCTGTCTCCTTCCACTTCCTACAAGAACAAAAGGAAGATGTCCAACACTCTATCATCACAGACCTCCAAGTGAGTTTTCAATATAACCAAGTCAAAATAGTAGTGAATGGGGTTAAAAAATAGTATCAAATTTGGTTAAAAAATAGTATCGAATTGGGTTAAAAAATCGAATTGGGATAAAAAAAGTATCAAATTGGGTTACAAAGAATTGTGTTGATTTCTACTTTTTGATAACTAAATAGATAGTTATTGATGTAATGAAAACAAAGTTAATTTGTACAAGTTCTGCTGGTTCGTGTACATGTAGTCGTGTACGGAACATTATTACAGAACTGGATTGGTGTAGGCGGCCAAATGATCAAAGTAGCCGGTCAAATTGGCTGGCGACCGGCTCTTATGGAAAACCCTGAAAAGGCCATTGAGCTTATGCTGTGGCATTTCCAGGACCAGTCATACAATTTTTTCAGCTTGGAGCAGAAATTAGTTAATAGGACTTATGCTGTTAAGGATGGAGTTTAACATCAAGCAATAGAGGGGTTTGGCCACATAGGGGTTAGGAGGTAAATTTTGAAAATCGTTTGAATTCCTCAAATTTGGAAGATAACTTAATGCTGTATGAATCGAGCGACAGACTGGATTTTTACTTGTATTTTGGCAGAATGGTACAGATCAGACAAGACGCCGTTTGGCAGTGTACTGTCTTAAGGATGCCGTATTACCTCTCCGTCTCCTGGACAAGCTCATGTGTGTCATCAACTACATAGAAATGGCTAGAGTGACAGGGGTACCCCTCCCTTACTTGTTGTCACGGGGACAGCAAATCAAAGTCATATCACAGCTACTGAGAAAGGTGGGACAGCTTGATTAAATTGACAGTACAGTAGGCAACATTTCTACATCAAATCTAATGGTATATCTTTGCTTGAATAGTTCTTCACTAGTTAATACAGGTGTATAACATCAGCTATTTGTTGGGTAAAACCCTTCATTTTTCTGGCTATAGTTGAACCACAGAAACAATAACATGGTATTTTTATTAGTTTTTATTAGTTTCTTGGTTTCTCACTACAAGGGCTGATTGATAAGTTGTGAGCATCATATTTAAAGCGACTATAATGTTAAAAAACACTACAAGAAAACGATATAAAACATTCAATTTACCAATAGTATGTTACAAAACTAAGACTTTCTGTTAATTACTGAAATTAAAAGTCACTGCAAACATTTTTTATTGATATCTAAAAAATAAAGAATGTAAACGTTGTGGTCCTGATCTAATTCATACATTACCGCTCGTAACCCTGATGCTGCGCATGCATATAAGCCTAGAAAGAATCAATATGGCGGATGTAAATACGAAAAGGCGACAAGGACCTAAAAGTTACCTTACAGAAAGTGCCAGAAAGCGTAAGAGGAAGGAGTCAGACCAGAAAAGGCGATATGAAAAAATTTATATTAGACAGGAGATCGATAGATGTCGAAAGATGAAGGAGGATCTTGGACTGAATACAGATTCTGACTTTGCAAAGCTGCTGCTTGACTGGCTAGCTTAATGTTAGCCCTATAATTATAACATATCCGCCTGTCATTTATTATAATCTTATATCCAGTGTTTGACAGTATATGATAAATGTTGAATGAAAATAGTTGTGTTATTCGCTTGAATTTACTATCGATGTGTGTTTGTTGTTGATTGCAAGGTGGGGATCCAATTTGCTGGTATTCGTTCTAAGTGTAAAAATATGACGGTACTGGTGTTACTGTGAGAATAACGACCGTGGTGATAAATATAACCTTCATAATAAACACATTGACACATGTTGAATGGTAAACAATATCTATTAATGTGTACAGACAAAGTATCAATTCCTGTGCATTTCTGCACAATGAGTTTTTTCTTTTTTCTGATTGTAAAAGTTATTGACATACATAAGACCTGCATTTGTTTACACTTTCCTTGTAATCCATTTTTTCTTTGTGGTGGAAGTAAATGACTTCGTCATGTGACAAGCCATGTGACCCGGTCTGCTTTCTTCGTAATAAACCGAGCTTGAACATGTTTATAAACAATAGTCAAGATAAACAATGTTCCAAGGCAGAAAAAATGTACAAAAACAACAAATTTGACATTACCGACACATCTTATCGCTTTATCATGGATATATTGTATTATTCATAAGCCGAATTCTAAGGTAATAGGGTTTGACTTTTGGCAGACATACTACATTATTTTTCAACATAATCACCTGCATTATTTATACACATCTGCCAGCATTGTTTAAGGGCCTCAGTGCCACTTTTAAAGAAGTTCTATTCTTGACTGTTCAGGAAGTACTCCATTGCATGTATGATGTCATCATTTGACCGAAAGTGGGATACCGGAAATGGTCTTTTTCGATTTTGGAAACAGATGAAAGTCCGATGGAGCAAGATCAGGCAAATAAGGCGGATGCTCAATTAGTTGAAAGCCATAATCGTTTACGGCACCCATGGCAATTACAGACTTGTGAACAGGGGCATTGTCCTGGTGGAACAACACATCTTCATCAAGTTTTCTATGGTGCTTGATGTTTTCTCTTAACTGCCTAAGAAGTGATCCATAATATGTGCCACTGATTGTTTGTCCCTTTTGCAGTAAATCTACCATCAGAATGTCATCAGGTTTCTAAAGACTGAGGCTATATAACCTTTCCAGCTGATGGAACGGTCTTTGCCTTCTTTGGCGAGGTGAACTGTGGTGCTTTTATTCTTTAGACTTTTTGTTTTGGCCTCTTGGATGGAATGATGGACTCACTTTTCATCCATAATCACAAACCTCTGCAGAAAGTTAGCAGAATCTGCCTCAGAAAGGTTCAGATTAGCACTCGATAAAGTCTGCTTGTTGTGCTTCTGATCAAATGTCAGAAGTCTTGGTTCCCAATGGGATGAGAGCTTTCACATTGCATATTTTTTCAGTGAAATCCAAACTGTACTGGTTACATATCTCTTTGCAACTTGCCTGTCAGAGTCATAACGATATTGACCATTTCAGGGGTTGAAACAGTGACAGGCCTTCCAAGACAGACACATTCTCAAGGCTCTGCCTGCCACGCTTAACTTCTGCTTTTCACTTTTCACTGTAGAATATGAAGGGGCATCATTCCCAAGTGTTGCTACCATATCAGTATGGATATCCTTAGGTGCTAGACCATTCTTTTGCAAATATTGAATCACTGCTCTTTCAGCAATTATGTCCATTTTGCAAAAGTCACTTTTCTTGCTTAATTTAGAGTGCTACCTCTTCAACATAAACTGACCAAATGACCCCAGTCTTCGGTTACACAGCCTTAAATAGTCAGGGAATGGCATAGCTTAAAAAGGACATCCCTGCTTAACTTCTTCAATACATGTCTCACACCTTACCAATCCGCCCTCGTACTAAAAACAGTACCCACAAACGTTTCATGAAATATCTTGTTTTACAGGCCAAAGAGCAAGACCTAGTGCTACCAACACAGAAGATAGAGGTTGGCGATGAGTACGAAGGAGCAACTGTTATTGAACCTGTCAAGGGGTTTGTACAACCTTAACTTACCGAGTAATTCAAAGAATGCATTGCTGTATGGCATGAAAACAGGAAAATTCTATCACAGACTTTTTAGGTAACCTGAGACAAAGTCTTATGGTGACCTATTGTTTATGTGTGTGGTTGGTAGGAAATTACACTCCAAGTTATTTGTTTGGAGGAATATTACTTTTGTGGAGAGTAATATGTGCTGTTTATGAATTCTCAAAACAGAATTTTAAATTATCTGATTTTTAACTGTGCAGGTAGGAAAAAGTTATTTTTTGTCATATCGGCCTTGAAATTTACTGGAGTAAACTTATTTCAAGAGCTATCTATCAATTTTACTGCTAGCTTGCACATTTGAAATCATACCATTTTATTGTAATTTGTTGTGGAAAGGATGTAATGTAAAACCATATGAGCTAAAACATAATTAAAACCTGATAGCATGGTCAAACTGATGAGACACAACTGGATGGATCAGTCACATATAACAATTTATGCCAGCAAATAGATGACAATGTATAATCAGATTGTTTTATATCATAGATGAAAATGTTTCCTCTTTTTATCAGGGCTCTCACACCCCATTTTGGGACTGGGGCCCAGGGCCCTTAGAATCGGGAAAAATAGTGGTGTTTTCCTTAGAATTGGGAAAACTTGGGGTCTAAATTTGGAAAAAAAGATACTATTTTGCATTGGGAATGGGGCCGAAAATCAGCCCCAAATCTGGCAGATCGAGAGCCCTGTTTTATGCCCCCTCCATATAGTGTTACACATGCCTTTTTAAAATGTTGCATCCCTTGTCATTTCTATGTCACATCTTGAAGATCTCTCATCAGATTCAGCCCATATTTACTCAATAGTGCCATTACATCGTGTTCAAAACCTTTTCTCATTAAGGTGGTCATAGGTCAATTTTAAAGGGTCAGAGGTCACATTCAACTACTTCTGCAAATTCATTAAGCAAGGGACAATCATGTCTTAAAGTCATGTTTTTAAAATGTATATTTTTGTTAAGGTTCATTTTCTGACACTTTTTTCACTGACAATATTTCGACATTTTAATGTTTTGCTTTCTTTTTTTCATAGATACTACGACATGCCAATCGCCACATTAGATTTCTCCTCCCTGTATCCATCTATTATGATGGCACACAACCTGTGTTACACAACGCTGCTCAGTCAACACACAATTACTAAAGAAGAGTAAGTCATCATAACTACATTTCTGAAAATTCATTTATAAAATTTTGTGGGAATTATTTTATTTATTTCCAGGCCATCACATTAACTTCTAAAATAAAAACTAGATTTCTGACAGAATACTAAATATTTAAATGTCTAAAACCCTATGGAATTATTTTATCAAGCTAGTAGTTTTGTTTCTGATCTGAAATCTTGGCTAATGCGATGTTCAATAGAATTTTCTGTATGTATACTTGGGATATTTGCTGCCCATAAGATTTTGTACATTACAGTGTTGTGATGTTTAGAATCTGATTCATGTGTGGTAAACTATCATACTAATCAATATGTGTAGTGTAAAGATTTTTTTAATTATATCGTGTTTGTCAAAAATTTAGCATTTATGTTTACCACTGATTGTTTGATTACCAAACAAATTGACTTTTTGATCATCAATCTATCTGACATTTTACAGGGGTGTCAGTTATATTGAGAATATTAAATTGTAGAAAAAACAGCATTTAGTGATAATTTTAAAAAATTGCAAAAGTGGAGCTTCTAGTTTTGATCAGGGCTAGGAAGAAAAAGTGACTTTTTTCAGAATTGAACACCCCTGCAATTTAGATGTAACAAATAGATCAACTACATTCCAGGTTTACAATCCATATATTTTTTTTGCAGTCTGTCTCCAGAACAGTATATCAAGACTCCCTCAGGAAATCTCTTTATTAAAGCCAAGCACAGGAAAGGTCTTCTTCCAGAAATCCTCGAACATCTGCTAGGTGCCAGGAAAAAGTAATATTTGTATTATTTTGTAGCAAAGAAATAACAAGTTTCTGTAAAGAAATTGAAATGGCATGACTTTATGTGCAAGGAAAAAACAGGAAGAACAAATCAATTTTGCAGTTCTGTGTGATATTCAGATTTCAATTATTTTGTTACATTTTGTCCTTTTTTTCAACAATTGATCAATTGAACACATTTATGTGCCTTCCAGAGCTAAAGCTGACCTGAAAAAAGAGACAGATCCTTTCAAGAAAAAAGTGTTAGATGGTCGCCAGCTTGCTCTGAAAATAAGTGCCAACTCAGTATATGGCTTTACTGGAGCTCAGGTTGGAAAACTGCCTTGTCTGGAAATCTCCCAGGTGAGAGATGTTTTATAAATTATACAGTACAAGATTAATCCATTAAATAGTTAAAACCAGATTGTTATGTACAAAGTAATCACCATCCTCGATACTCCAGGGGTTATGGTCACATATGTTCTCTGCACCCCTGGAACAAGTCATGGCAATATTGAAGGTTCCTTGTTTGTCACCTTGCGGATAAGACGAAGACACTAGTTTTATTGTTTGATGTACATCAAAGGCTATCAGGGTGGCATAACAGTATATTGCAATGGTTTTGAAGTTGGATGTCACTCTTTTGTAATCTTCTAAAAGAGCGTATCAGCTTGTGATTAATGAGTTCTTTTTCTCCTGGAACCAATCAAATTACTTTGCCTGTGCCTTCAAGTTTGCTATGACATACTCCAGGGGTGCAGCAGAAAATGAAAGTGAAGGTGGGTGATCACTGGACAAGGAAGTAGCCAAGGTTAAAAACTTGATTTATTAATTTTATTGATGCCCAGTATTATCATAAGGGTGTCCACCTCTTAAACAACCCCTATTTTAGGGGATTTAAGTAACCATCAGATATATAGATATATCTTCTAAGTCAACAATACTGTAGAATGCTATGAGTTAAGCTTTCGTTCCAGAACTAAGAGCTTAACCTCAGAGATATCATTTTCATTTCTTTACTCAGAACAAAGAAATAAGATTTTTTGACCTGGTAATGTATTGTTACATATAGAGTAGGGTCCACGTGAACATTTAAGAGTACATTTTCATAGGCACAGATCAGGGTGACCTATTGACCTTCTTATTTAATGAATTTTGATCATTATGGGTTTTTTTTATTTTCTAGAGCGTGACTGCATTTGGGAGGATGATGATTGAGCAGACCAAAAATTATGTGGAAGAGAAATACACCATTGCTAATGGCTACAAACATGATGCAAAGGTCTGTTCTCAGTTTTCAAATTTATGTGATAATGCTAGAAATTAAAAGAAATTATTCAGACATTCAAAATTATATAGAATAGTAAAAGATTGTCAGAATACCTGGACTGTCAAATTGGCAGAATACCTAGGCTGTCAGATTGTCAGAATACCTGGGCTGTCAGATTGTCAGAATACCTAGGCTGTCAGATTGTCAGAATACCTGGACTGTCAGATTGTCAGAATACCTGGACTGTCAGATTGTCAGAATACCTGGACTGTCAGATTGTCAGAATACCTAGGCTGTCAAATTGTAAGAACACGTGGACTTTCGGATTGTCAGAATACCTGAACTGTCAGATTGTCAGAATACCTGGACTGTCAAATTGTCAGAATACCTTGGCTGTCAGATTGTCAGAATACCTGGTCTGTCAGATTGTCAGAATACCTGGACTGTCAGATTGTCAGAATACCTAGGCTGTCAAATTGTAAGAACACGTGGACTTTTGGATTGTCAGAATACCTTTACTGTCAGATTGTCAGAATACCTTCACTGTCAAATAGAACATTGACAAATAAATATGACATCATAACAAAAACCTTGTGTGTATTTATAGTACTATGAATGCAATTTCCATTTGTTAGGTTCATATAATAGTGGGCAGTTACTGCGAAAGTAAACTTATAAATTAACTTGCATTAAAGCTTGAATTAAACTTTGTTAGTCAACATATTCTAACTGAAGACGTTGTTTTAAATTACAGCTATGTGACTGAAAGCTAAATTTAACTCTCTAAAAGTAAAAGAAATTTGCTGAAAATTACCCTGTCATAGGATTTTCTTTGGAATAACCATACTAAGCCATTTAGACAAAGCATGCATTAAAATGCATGATTGTCTCTGTTTTCATTACTAAATCCTATTTAGTCATGAAGATGTTTTCTCCTTGAATGAGAATTTTTTAAGTTGAATATTTTTTAAATGTATTTTGGAACTTTTATGCTCTAAACTGATTTTACCTCCTGAATGAGGCTAGTGTTTCATTTCCATATATCAACATGAATTAATACCTGTTGTTATTGCAGTTACTGTTGATCATTAGATCCATTTTATTTCATCCTGGTTCTTACCCTGACAGGTTGTATATGGAGACACTGACTCTGTGATGTGTAAGTTTGGTGTGGATACTGTTGCCGAAGCTATGACTCTTGGTCTAGAGGCAGCTAACTTCATCTCAGGAAAATTTGTTAGTCCGATCAAACTAGAATTTGAAAAGGTTGGTGTGGTATACTGTGTAATAGCAAACATAAGGTTAAGATCAAAACTCTGTGATATATTTATGTCTTGATACTCTTCAACAATAAAAAGATTTCTAAAGAATTCATCAAGTACTTGCCTCATGATAAGACATTAGTAGTTTGTGGTGGTCATTGATCTAGATTAAAGGGTTAAAGAATCATCTTTTCCCACCTTGTAATGCTCAGTTTATTTTCTTTTTTTTTTTTTTTTTTTTTTTTTTTATTTACAAGACTAAATATAGAAGGACTATTAGACATTAAAAGTGTGAATGTAAGGGTATCAATTTAGATTCATCAACAAATATTCTTGTTTTGCTTATTTCTCTTTTATGTATGATCGTTTTGTAGGTCTACTTTCCATATCTATTAATCAATAAAAAGCGTTATGCTGGTTTGTACTGGACCAACCCGGAAAAACATGACAAAATGGACTGTAAAGGGATAGAGACTGTGAGGCGTGACAACAGTCCAATAGTAGCCAACCTCATCAACACCTGTCTGCAAATGATCCTAATAGAAAGGTAAGTTTACAGGGAGATAAATCAGTTTTACATTTACCTGAGAGATACGTAAGTTTACTTTAAGTCAGGATATAGTTTGTACAATGAGGTGAGTGACAAGTAAGATGTGGAATGAGACAAAAGTTACCAGCCGGAGTAATTATGAAGTGATGGGAAGTAACTTTTCTGATGAGAGACTGGCAATCTTCTTGTGAGATAAGTGTCATAACTTTTCTATTGGGTTAAAGACAGGTAAAAGGAGGAGTGCCAGTTTAGGCCTTCTGGTGGCCATGACGAATACTTTTTATTTTTTGTCAATTAAAAACTTGAGGTTAGGCTGTAATGACATGATATTAATCTAAGGTCAGCTCAAGCCTGTTCAGTTGTTATAGGGGGGACGAGAGGGGGATCAAATTCATTATTATTGCAATAATTTTCAAACTTAAAATATTTTTTTTAGTGTTTTTCTCATAAATGTAATTTGATGATATATTTCAAAACCTTCATTAGAAAAAATGACCAAAAAATATGCCAGTTGAAAAGTAGGTCACTGTAATTAAGTGCCCAAATTACTAATTATTCACACTTGAGCACCGTTTTTTGTCTTAATGCATCTATAAACAATACGTTCTCAGAGAATTGTGAATAGCCTGACAAGTTTTAGTCAATTCAAAATTGAAAAATATATTAACAGTTTATAAAACTCCATACATTGAATACAGCCCTCAGCTTATCTTATTGATAATATCTGTTACTCATCTGTGCCCTGTTTTAAATTTGTTCGTTTTAGAGATCCAAATGGAGCTGTGGAATATGCAAAACAGACAATATCTGATCTACTATGTAACAGGATAGATATATCTCAGTTGGTCATCACCAAGGAGCTCACAAAGACTGATGATGAATACTCAGCAAAACAGGCCCATGTAGAACTGGCCCACAGGTAAAAATAGCAGGAAGAGCAAAGATGAAAGGAAAATATTCACAAAATATTTACTTTGTTGTTATGGACTTCTAAATGTAATTACTGAATATTTGGTTTCCAGAGTTAAAATCATCCTTTCTACAAATTTAGATGCAACATTAACCAGTACTCTATGAAATATGCTGTCATGTTGCAACAATAGTGATCATTGTCGGATTAACCTTCCACTCCTCAAAATGCAAACATAGCAAATAATGACACATTCTGTGTCAACCTTTTTCTACATAATTCTTTTAAAACCATGCCTTGTTAAGTGTACAGAGTCAGATTGACAGGAACTGATGGTATGTTTATATTTATCTGAAAGATTTTAGGTTGTGTTCTGTTTAGAATTAAGCGCTTTAATGGCCGGGTTGCACATAGTGCAAATCCTGGTTATAGTATGGTGAATGTCCGGTGGGAGGTATGGCTGGCGGGTGGGGAAAAGGGGCACCAGTTTTGTAAAATCAACTCCTCCTAGAGTTTTTGACGTAGAAGCTTGAAACTTTGTAGGATGTTTATATATATGTTGACAATGTGCACCTCCTATTATGGATTCATTCTGGACATTTTTCTTGATTTTCCGGGCTTTGGAACTTATTTTCCGCAGTTTGGCAGGGAAAAGGGGTACCAGTTTTGTAGAATCAACTCCTCCTAGAGTTATAGAAGCTTGAAACTTTGTAGGATGTTTATATATATATGTTGAAGATATGCACCTATTAATTTCTAGCTCATATCACTCATCCAGCAACCTGGCCAATTGTGGCTTTGCCCCATTTCATTTTCAAAACATTTACAAATAACATCAAGTATATGAGACTAAAGAAGTGACATTTTATGGTAAATATCAGTCTAATTAAAGGTAATAATTAACAAGTAGGTCACTGTCAGGGCAAATTTTACAAATTATAAATAATTTTACTTAAATCATTTCTACCAGAATAAAGAAAAGAGATCCAGGAAGTGCCCCACAACTTGGAGACAGAGTCCCCTATGTGATTATCGCAGCAGCTAAAAAGACGGCAGCTTACATGAAATCTGAGGTTAGTATTGAGTCATACTAAAAGTTTCCTCTTACAGGTACATTAAAGATATCAGAATTCAAATTTAGCTGAGTGTATGATACAGTGTAATGTGTCTGATTTCAAAGAAAACAAACAAGAGGTGCAAAAATATTTTTTCTTTTTCTTCAGTTGTATTGTACCTGTAATTAAAGAAAATAAAGTAAATAAAAATCAATAAATGAGATGAAATCAAATCTTGAAGAGAATATTTTCAAGTTTTGGTCTTTATGTTGTTGATCTGACTTGTTAACTGAATATTCTGAGATGGATTTCTTAGCTGCTAGAGATTGTGTTTGAATATTTGAATGAACAAATTACATTACACATGTTTTTACAGTAACCACCATTATACTCAATTACTTTTGTGTTGTCAATGTGTTGCCATGGCAATCATTTTGATAGGCTACATAAATCGTGGTGGCCATCTTGCTGAGACAGGTCATTGACATTTACACTGAAATTATTCATAAAAACTTGTAAAAATCTGACATTAAATTGTGGGGTGGAAGGAACGGTGTTGACAAATTTATTGAGGTGATGAAATTCGCTTTTCTTCCCCTCAAAGTCTAATCAGTTAACAGAATGTAAAGAAATGAACCAATTGTCTGTACCTCTCAAAAAAATATGTTGTAAATTTTCTGGAATATGTTGTAAATTTCAGGAATATGTTGTAAATTTCAGGAGTTTAGACCAGAATTTCATGTAAATAATGGTTTTTGACAGTTAATCCACAAAAATAAACGCATGCCTGTATTATTATGTATAAAAGGATATAATTTATTTGTGTTATTTATCATATTGACTTTGATCTGTCATTTTTGTCTGATTTAGGACCCTATATTTGTCCTTGAAAACAACATCCCCATTGATACCCAGTATTACCTGGAGAACCAGCTGTCCAAACCTCTGTTAAGGATATTTGAACCAATTCTTGGAGAGAAGAAAGCAGAATCTGTCCTTTTACGTGAGTTGGTTCGACAAGCTTTATCAAATGTTTGATTCTTTTCTTCATATCCCTTTTATTAGAGCTACAAATACTTTTGTTTTATTTCAAAGTGTGGAATTAACTTCATATCCTTGTATCATGTGAGAAGATCAGTCAAATTTTGTTTATAGTGTAACTTTTTTAATGGCAATAAAAATGAGCATCCTGAAAAGCTATTTATTGTAAAATCTACTCACTAATAGATGGCGACCATACCCGCACAAAAACCAAGGTAACAGCAAAAATTGGTGGCCTAATGGCATTTGCTACGAAAAAGGAGAAATGCATTGGCTGTCGGACAGTTTTAGATGACAGTAAGTGTTTTACTGAAAAGTTTTTTCGTTTTTCTTTTGCATTCGGAATTATTAAGATTTTAAAATTGTTGTTTTCTTGTCACAAATTAATAAGCTGAATCTCTCAATTCTTAATATTGTCTGTTGTTTAATATCTACAATAAATTGTAAAAAATCTAAAGACTTTTACATTTCTTTTGCAATGTGTTGTTCAAACGTACACAAGTCAGTAAGATACATGAATAGAGAAGTTGTTACTAATCTGTGATAAGAATTTCCCTACAAAGTGAACAGAGATTATCATATCACCCCTTGTTTTTGTGGGGTCATGTTATTCTGCATATAGAAATATTTACGCCTTAGAGCTTTTGATGATGTGCCTGTTTTCAAGTAAATCTTTTAAATTTTGATAAAACCAATTGTCTATGAACCTGTTTAATGGTTTCTGTTATTTGATGTTTTCCCTAGCATCTGCTGTGTGTAAATATTGCAAGCCTAAAGAATCTGGTATCTACCAGAAGGAGGTGTCACACTTGAACATGTTAGAGGAGAAATTTTCTCGCCTTTGGACACAGTGTCAGCGATGTCAGGGCAGTCTTCATGAGGATGTGTTGTGTACAAGGTAAACAATGTTTTATACATCATCCAGTACATGATCCTGAGCAGAGTCTGTGAATTTCATGATCTGCTGTAAAAATACTTCGGTATGACATTCAACAAAGTGGAGTGCTTAAACCCAACACCTCACTCATATATGATTCCACTGATACCATGTTACGTCATTTCAGTTGATTAGCTTACAGTCATATTCGTGACAAAAATATAAGATCTTAGGTGAGTTTTTGTTGCCTGTGAGATTTTATGAAACAAGTTTTAGAAGTTTTTTTAATTGTGAATTTGTAATTTAAAACAAATTTAAGATATAAGCCATTGTGTTTTGCTCCAATCCTTGGTATGACATCAATCTCAATATTTTTGACATCATAATCAATTTCTGACTCGGAGTCATTGGAAAAATGCTTTAGTGTGTATTACACTACTGACACATGCAAAAATACTTCATAGGTGAAGTCACTGGATAACAAGGTAATTGTAAAATATTAGTTGAACATTATGATTTTTATATCATCTTTAATTGTCTTGTCAAGATTTAACATAGTTTTATATAGTTGAGTAGTTAAGACGTTCACCTTGTTTCTTTGTAGTCGGGACTGCCCAATATTCTACATGCGGAAAAAAGTACAAAAAGACTTGGCTGACCAAGATAAACTTATGATGAGATTTGGTGTTCCTTCGTGGTGAAAGTGGCTTCTAGATTATGGAGAAAATGTCAGTGTCATTCTCACCTTAGCAGTTATGTGATCGACCTCGTCAGCTGCAGATTATCATGAGGCAGAATTATTTTCCTATATGACTTGCTATTTTCAGCACCAATGGTTATGAAACTTTGTGGAAATGGAAAAGTGAAAAGTTCAGTTTTAAAACTGATCTTCAGAATAAACAGATATCTGAGTATTCTGATATTTTTGCAGTTTGGTAAAACGGTACAAATTGTGATACAATTATATATTCAGAAATTATCTCTAAAAAAAAATCTGGACACAGATTCTAAGTTAAAGATAAAAAATCTGGACACAGATTCTAAATTAAAGATGAAAAATCTGGACATAGATTCTAAATTAAAGATAAAAAATCAGGACGTAGATTCTAAATTAAAGATTTGTATCCTTTCTGTGGTGGAACTGTGACAGACTGAAGGAGGTAGTTTTAACGGTTTCATTCCAATTTTCCAGTTTTTCATTTTGATTAGATGTTGAGATAAAAGTCCAGTTTTATCCAAACTTCATATATGATTGGAGATGTTTTAAAAAAAAAAGAAAACAAACTTCAGAATTTTAAATTTTGATAGCTCAATTTCTTAGAAAATGCAATTCCAAACATATTTATCAAGATGAAAATTTCTCATTTCTGTTTTTCATAAATAATATTTTTGAGAAGAATTATAAGAAATGTTTACAATATCTGTTTGGTTGATTCATTACATTTCAAAGTAAGTTACATGTAATAGTCATCCTGAAGTCATACAGTGTAATACAGGATATGGTTTTTGTCTGGTGTAGAATAGTGAGATTTCTGCCTATATTACATTAAAGTGATGTTGAGAAGTACTACCATTTACTGGTACTCAGGAAATCTATAATATTGAAACAAGTACTGTAATAAATCAGACTAGTTTCTTCCCTCTACTCTTGGAATGACTTTTTAGGGGGGGAGAGGGTTAGAAAATATCATTAGGTAAAGGAGGGGTATCAATTAGGGCCATTTTACAACCACTAAATGGTCAGTCTAAAAAAATTTTAAGAAGATTGTGAAGGTCAGTGTCCTATTTAAAACTCCAGATTTTTTGTGAGCTTATGGAATAATTTCAGGTCAAAATAGGTGTCAAGTAAAAAAATGTAAAAAAAAAGTTCTTAGAATTTTTCAGTTAAGTAACTAATTTAAATGAAGTTGAAACAAGCAAATTTGTGGACGTTTATATCCCCTCCATCTTTTAATGATTAAAATTTATAAGGCAGCTAAAGTCAGAATAAAGGATTCCAGTGAAATCCATTACCATTTAGTGAAGTCATCACACAAAAAGCGATGGACCAATCAGAAATAAAGTACCTAATTAATTATGCTCAAATGTCAACAAATGAAGTCAAAAGAAGCAGTCGCATGTCAAATAGATGGGTTGTTAATTACAGTATAGAAATTAGCATCGATCAGTCACTTACTGGCCTGTGATCATGAAGTAATTATAAAAGCCTTATTGATTTCTATGTAATGATACACCTTGATGTAACCAGACCATAGACCGACAGCTTTCAATTCTCTCCAACACACTATTTTGGTACCATGTTCTGAGAGAATCGAATTTGACATGTTGATAATAAGATCTCTTGACATCCAAACTAATGTATCCTTTTACTCTTTGCATGAAAGGTCATTGATTATATACAATTCTGTAATGAAGGCATTGAAATGTTCTTGGGGAGAGAAAGAAAAAGATGAATGGTATTTGAATTCTGAATACCATACTGTTATTAATTACAAATATTGATAACTTTATTTATATGCAGATTTGTATATACATACATTTTGTCTATAAATAGAAAAAATGCAGTAAAGTGCTCAAATGTTGCTCTTTTTTTGTTTTGTTTTTAATTTTGTTTACTTGATGAATGTACATATTAAACATATAACATTCATAAGTTCCTCCCTGGTATATGGTTTGCCCATGGGGAAGAATTTTATGGATAATAATTTATTTACTAAAGTATAGTATGTGTATGCATATTACTGGGATTGGCCTAGATTTATTTGGCGGGTGTCGTGGATGAAGCAAATGACGCTTACTCTTCCGGAACACATGGTCTTATACTCCTTAAACTTTGTCAGCAGTTTTCATCTAAAGCATTCTTTTGATAACATTTTGCATTAGTTTTTTTAATTTGATTCGGGATAATGATTATGTCGACACGTTGGTATTTTCTTGTTTTAGGATCGCGTAGTGAAAACGCTGGTTAATGCGTTACCGTTGAATGTGAAATTTTGTGTCAGTAGTTGGAATAACAAATATCCAATAAGTTCCATATCCTGTATCCTCTCATTGTTCTAGTAATGCGCCTGTAATGACAGTATCCGGAAGTAGTAGAACATAATCCCCGTGTCTATTTATAGACATAATTGTTCTAAAATGCCCCATTAAACAACATTTTCACTGTTTCTTACTTGTAGTAAAAACATATTGGGAGCAAACATAATGCGCTTTCTACTGAATATCCCCATTCCCTATTTGACACAATAGTGAAGAGAACAAAAAAGATATGTTTGAAATCGCATTTATTTTCTATAAAACAAGTAATTTTAATGCATAATGCATGCAGCTGATGAGAGAGTAAACAAAGTTTCAAAGCAAACCCTTTTACGAGAGCCAAACCGATAATTTTATCGGAAAATTGCAAATTGCTAAATATCGAAATGTTTGAGACAGCCGCAGAACTTTGTAATATGTGCAATATTCAAACGGAAGTAGAGGCTTTGTTGTCACATTTCTTCTCGTAAACAAGAATAAAAAGAAAAATAAACTTGCCCCATGATTAACAAATATAATATAACCGAAATCAGAGTTAGAAAAAATAAATTAGGCGGTTAACACACACACACACACAAAAAATAATAATACATTAATATTTTTGATCACTTTTCATTACTGAATTATTTCGGAATACCATCAAGCACATTATCCATTTTCAAGTGAGATTTTTAAAAATCTGATCTCCGATTTAAAATGTTATTTCAAGGTATCAGATTGTCCAAAGATCAGTGTACCATTGAGCTTTTGAATGTGATTATCACTTACTAAAATGTCCCAAGTTTTATTGTTACCGCCGTTAGATATGCCCATCTCCAATGTGGTTACTGTTTTGTTGATAATGTCGGTGTTTGGAGTTTTCCCCTGTTTGTCTCTCTAATTTACTAATGGTTAATTCAGAGTGTTATCAGATAAAAAGATCACCAAACCCGAGATAAAAGTCTGATGAAAGGTTTGACATCAAACTCAACAACCAGGCTGTAATGTACACTAATCAGGTATTGATTTGATGACAAAGTTCCGTATCTATACACTAGATATTTAGACACTAATGATATCAACATGAAACCTTTTGTGCGGCAGTATACCTTGCCGAGCCAGTACATAATTGGACGAGAATGTACGCGTGGTAATGCTTCTCCTGTTTGAAATGACTCGGCTGCTTAATACTAAAATCCCTGTAATGTTAACGACTTCAAATATTGGTGCTATTTATGGAAAATCATATTTTTAAGACATAACTCGAACACGAACACGTCAGAAAAGGCCCCGTTATATGTTTGACTTTAGCTTTGATCAGTTGAAATCTTGATTTATTGTGAATCTTGCTTCATAGGGCCATAACACGCCTAATTACTATAGAGCACCCACATCGTTGATCCGGGGCCTTAACTTTGTATCGCTTATACTATATGTTAGATGGTGACCCATTTACTTATTACCTGGCATCGTTAACCATTTTGTCTCGCCTACAACGAAATGTTGTGGATAAGAGATTTTATAACACGTTAATTCAGCTTCATAGTTCTTAACGTCGTTCAATTCTAGAAAAATGTTTTGAGCTGATTTCTGATTTGAAAACAAAATAATGTGAAGCAAACAATGTAAGAAAACTGCAAGCAATCAAAACTGCAGTTTGAATTGAATTAGAAGTTAAAACCAAAGACAATGAAAAATTGCGATATAAGTTATACATATTTTCACTGGAATATACTGTACGTTAAAATCAGAAGTGTCTGTGTAGACATCAGTACTACACTAGTCTACCTCCTCTAACGATGTCTGTGTAGACATCAGTACTACACTAGTCTACCTCCTCTAACGATGTCTGTGTAGACAGTACTACACTAGTCTACCTCCTCTAACGATGTCTGTGTAGACATCAGTACTACACTAGTCTACCTCCTCTAACGATGTCTGTGTAGACAGTACTGCACTAGTCTACCTCCTCTAACGATGTCTGTGTAGACATCGGTACTACACTAGTCTACCTCCTCTAACGATGTCTGTAGACATCAGTACTACACTAGTCTACCTCCTCTAACGATGTCTGTGTAGACATCAGTACTGCACTAGTCTACCTCCTCTAACGATGTCTGTGTAGACAGTACTATACTAGTCTACCTCCTCTAACGATGTCTGTGTAGTCAGTACTACACTAGTCTACCTCCTCTAACGATGTCTGTGTAGACATCAGTACTACACTAGTCTACCTCCTCTAACGATGTCTGTGTAGACATCAGTACTACACTAGTCTACCTCCTCTAACGATGTCTGTGTAGACAGTACTATACTAGTCTACCTCCTCTAACGATGTCTGTGTAGTCAGTACTACACTAGTCTACCTACTCTAACGATGTCTGTGTAGACATCAGTACTACACTAGTCTACCTCCTCTAACGATGTCTGTGTAGACATCAGTACTACACTGGTCTACCTCCTCTAACGATGTCTGTGTAGACATCAGTACTGCACTAGTCTACCTCCTCTAACGATGTCTGTGTAGACAGTACTATACTAGTCTACCTCCTCTAACGATGTCTGTGTAGACAGTACTACACTAGTCTACCTACTCTAACGATGTCTGTGTAGACATCAGTACTACACTAGTCTACCTCCTCTAACGATGTCTGTGTAGACATCAGTACTGCACTAGTCTGCCTCCTCTAACGATGTCTGTGTAGACATCAGTACTACTCTAGTCTACCTCCTCTAACGATGTCTGTGTAGACATCAGTACTACTCTAGTCTACCTCCTCTAACGATGTCTGTGTAGACATCAGTACTGCACTAGTCTACCTCCTCTAACGATGTCTGTGTAGACATCAGTACTATACTAGTCTACCTCCTCTAACGATGTCTGTGTAGACAGTACTACACTAGTCTACCTACTCTAACGATGTCTGTGTAGACATCAGTACAACACTAGTCTACCTCCTCTAACGATGTCTGTGTAGACATCAGTACTACACTAGTCTACCTCCTCTAAAGATGTCTGTGTAGACATCAGTACTACACTAGTCTACCTCCTCTAACGATGTCTGTGTAGACAGTACTACAATAGTCTATCTCCTCTAACGATGTCTGTGTAGACATCAGTACTACACTAGTCTACCTCCTCTAACGATGTCTGTGTAGACATCAGTACTGCACTATTCTACCTCCTCTAACGATGTCTGTGTAGACAGTACTACACTAGTCTACCTCTAACGATGTCTGTGTAGACATCAGTACTACACTAGTCTACCTCCTCTAACGATGTCTGTGTAGACAGTACTACACTAGTCTA